CCTTCCGCTTGCTCTGCTGTTGTTTTGTTTTTGGGTCACACCTGGACATGCTCCGGGGTCTCTCCTGGCTCTGCACTCAGGACTTACTCCTGGAGGTGCTCTGGGGTCCCTATGGGGTGCCGGGATTGAACCCGGGTCAGTTGTGTGCAAGGCAAACGCCCTCCCCGCTGTACTAGAGTTCTGGCCCCATGGCCCAAAACTTAAAGAAAAATCCTTGCTGGGGTTGCCCCGTCGCTGGCGCCCTGTCAGCCTCGTGGGTCTGCACACGGCTTGTGCAACTGCCTCGAGTGGCCAGTGACAAGGGGCGCCCTCCTGGCCTCCTGCTCCCCAGGGCTGCTCTCTGCCCGGTGCTCCCGGCCCTGCAGCCCTCAACTCCTGCCCTGTGTTCCCTCCTCCTTTCTGTGGTGTCCCCCTCCTCTCTCGGTGGCCCTCCCCCTGGGGTCACCCCCCTTCCTGCGTGGTGCTGGGACAGCAGAGCTGCCTGGTTTGTGCCGGCTTTGTGCCAGGTGCACATGTGACCCCTGGGACTTGGACTCAGGACCTCATGCTTGTGAGGCAGTGCTCAAAACCCCCTCTCGGACATTCCTCCCCTTCAGGCTGAAGGAACGGACTTGACCCACGTTCAGGCTCACACCTCTGCTTCCTGCCAAATCACTGCCGGCCACTAGCAGGCCAGGACCCGTGTGCCATGCCTGTGTGAAGCAGGGACGTTCTGGGGCGTGAGCCTGCTAGCGTCTTTGTCATGGACACATGTGGTCCCATCACAGGATTTAGGGTCACGGTCCAAACACAGGAGCATGGGGGTGAGGGGGTCGGGGCATGTTTAGGCCGGAGACTCTACTGGGCTCACACACGGCACTGAGTGCTCAAGTCTCAGGGAGACAGTGAGGCTCAAACACATTTTCTTTTTTTTCTTTTTTTTTATAATTTATTTATTTATTTATTGAATCACTGTGGGAAAAGTTACAGAGCTTTCAGGTTTAGGTCTCAGTCGTGTAAATATCAAACACATTTCCCTTTACCAATACTTATTTTTAACCGCGAACCCCAATAGAACCCCACCTCCCACCCCTCCCAATTCCTGTGAGACAGATGAGTTCTAGTTAACACTCTGTCTACTTTGACTCGATTCATTGTTTCGATAAAAGATGCACCATTATTATTTAGAGTTTACAACCCCCCCCCCCCCAAATCAGACATGCTGAAAAAGCGTTGTGAAATGATTTGCTTTCTACAGCTGGGTTTGGATTTCTGCTCTTTTACTTATTAACCCTGGAAGTATTTCTATTAAAAGTTAGATAATTAAGAGATTGGTTTCTGTGCTCTGGAGTCGTGGCCGTGCCAGAGAGCCACTCGTGGGGGGCAACTGGCGACCTTGGTAGGGCGTGAAGGACGGGCCGGAACGCCCCCCTTCTCGTGAGGTTTTTGCCGCCCCCGACCCCCGGCTCAAACCTGCTGTCCACCAGGCTCCCGTGCGGCCGCCACCTTTCTTTCCAGAGAGGATAGGGCGAAGGGGGCAACACCCTTTCCCCTCCGGTCAGTCATGATGGCGCGGTTTAACACATAGTCCATTTGCTTTTCTGCTCCAAGCTGCTGGTTCTCTGTGTTAAGTCCTTGTGCTTCTGGGGCCGTGGCCGTACCGAAGAGCCGCTCGGTAGGGTGTGAAGCTCAAACACATTTTCTTTCGCGCTGTTTTTTTCTTTTTTTTGGCTTTTTGGGTCGCACTCAGTGATGCTCAGGAATTACTCCTGGCAGTGCTCAGGACTGGTGATCGAATCTTGGTCAGCCGAGAGCAAGGCAAACCCCTCCCCACTGTGCTCTCACTTCAGCCCCTCCTTTTGCATCTTTTTGTGTTTTTTCAGAATTGATTGACTTCCTCGTAGCGTTTGATGGCCCTGACGTTCTCTGTAGAGTCCCTTGTTGCACACTGTGTTTCGTGGGCACCTTGGCGTCAAGACTTGGCGCTTGCCTGGTGCATGGCTCACCCCATAGGTCCCCTGAGCACCGCCAGGAGTGATTCCCGAGTGCAGACCCAGGAGTAACCCTGAGCACTGCCGGGTGTCCCAAAAAACAAAAGGAAAGAAAGAAAATAGGTATCCTTGCCCAGAAGGGTAGCCCAGGGCCAAGGAGCCTGCCTTGCCTGTGGCTGACCCCACCCCACCCTGTACGTCACCCCCCCCTCCCACCCCCCCCACCCCCCCCCGCCAGGTCGTGCCAGGATGAGCCCCGATGACTGCATCAGAGTCGGCCCTCAGCCCCTAGGTTAGGTCACTCCGCCCTCCCCTCCTCCCCACCACTCCCCTGTTCCTGCTCACTCATCCTCGAGGGGACCCGCACTCATTCAGCTTGTGCTCCCAGTCGGAGCAGGCCAGGCCATACGCCTCTGTACAGCTCTCAGGCCTTAGTGGGCTGGGCCACTCCCTGGCCACGGTGCGGCAGGTGTTGCTCACAGCACTGGGGTCACAGAGAGCAGGACTGTCAGGGTCGGGCTCAGGGCCTCTGCCCTGTCGCCCTGCCCCTCGCCCCCCCCTCCCGTCCACAGATTTTATGGCCCGGCTCCTGAGGAGGGCCCTGGGCACGGTCACTGGGTCCAGGTCCCACTCGGGGGATGCCGAATGACCTCAGCTGGAGATCTGTAACTGCTAAACATTTGTCAACCTTTTTCTGAAACCACTTTCTCAGGGCCCAGGGGTCCAGAACTGGGCCCCGCAGGGACCAGAAGCACATTGGCCAGCTAGTACTGATGTCTGCAGGGTAGCCCTCCGGAGCTTCAGCCGGACCCTGGCGTCACGAAGGGTGGCGCCTGCCCCTTTAAGAAGGGCCCATGATGCCCTCCTCCTTGCTGAATTCTCATTCTACCTTGGAACGTTCTAGACTCCAAGTGCCATTTTCAGTCTCTGCAGGAGACTGGCACGAGCCTGTTTGTCAGAGCTCAGTTCTCTAAGCTGCGAGTGCAGTGTGACACAGGTGAATCTGAGTCTTTGGGCTTTTTGCCCGCGTGGGGGCGGCTTTTTTCTCTAACAGTTCTTTAGTGTATGATAGTTTTTAATCTTTAGTTTGTTTAAGTTTTTTTAGTAGTTATATATATATTTTGGGGGGTTGGGCTGGGGGTGGGGTGGGGTGGGGTGGGGTGGCCATACCTGGCTGTGCCCAGGGGTCACCCTGGCCGGCTAACGTCCCTGTGCTGACGGAGATCGAGCCCAGGACAACTGGATAGAAGGCAAGTGCCCTCCCCACTGTCCTGCCTCTCTGCCCCCTGCGGACTTTTCTATTCAATGTGGAATGACTCTGAAGTCAGTGGGCCCTCATGGGGGGCTGATGAGAAGCAGAGGAGAAGATGTCACTCCCCCGGGACTGGCTGGAGCGCTGGCACTGATGAGCGCGACGAGCCCTGCCAGCCCCACAACGCCCACTAGGCCTTCCCGGGGTCTCGGGCCGGAGTGAGGGGTTGCCCTTTTCAGGGAAAGGGAGTCGATCCTCGACCTCCTCAGGCCCCTGGGCCTTTGTCCTTCTCGCAGTAAAGCATTTCAGGAGATGAGCTTGAAGCAGGAACATTTTATTTGGAGGCTTTTAGGAAGGGGAAATGAGGGAGGGAGTAACAGGCTCGAGAGAGAGTGCGGCTTCTCCAGAGGCGCAGAAAGCCACTGAACACATTAGGTTGCCTGGTTGCGTTCGGTCCGAAAGTCCACACGTCAGGAGGGGAGAAGCCCGTGACATGACCAACCTCGTAGGCGAGAGCAGTCCCTGGGCTCGGGCACACATGAGCGCCCTCCCTTGGTTCAAGGTGGCTAATCTCGGGTTTTCCCCAGGCTGCCCCTGTGGGAGTTTCTAGCTACCTAGAGTGGGTTGCTAGGGTGGTTGCCAAGGGGGTAGAGTTGAGTGGTCCAGGGTCCTCTTAGAAATTCCTTTCCTGGCCTTTGTTCCTATTCCCTCGGGGGGTCCAGCCTGCTCTGGGCCTCCTAATGTGGGTTAATTTTGACCAGACCTTGGGTCCCGTGCCCTCAGGTGGTCTTTTGGTGGCCATGAAGCTTTTGTTGACTTCCTCGGAGTTCCATTGCCATGGCGACGCTTCCCCCATCCACATGTCTGCCTCAGTTCTGTGGGTTAAGAAATGGAGTTAATACTGGCTTGTGGTTATCAAACTTGGGCAGTGTCACAAGGAACGAAGGAAATGCCAAAACCTCCTTCGCTCCCTTTTGGCGCAATTTTTTTTTCCTTTTTGGGTCACACCTGGTGATGCACAGGATTTACTCCTGGGTCTGCACTCGGGAATCAGTCCTGGCAGTGCTCAGGGGACCATATGGGATGCTGGGAATCGAACCTGGGTCGGCCGCGTGCAAGGCAAACGCCCTACCACTGTGCTATCGCTCTCCAGCCCCCCTTTGGCGCAGTCTTGCTGGGCCCTTTTCCCTGGCAGTTCTCAGCCCATAGAAAAAAGTGTGAGTGTTGCTTGCCTTAGCTTCTGTGTGTAACCCCGGGCCTCTCACACACACACACACATACGCACACACGCACACACAAGACCAGTGATCACTGCTGAGTCGCCTCCCGGCTAGTCAGTGTCTGGACGGAGAGGTGGTCAGTGACACTCGCAGTGCTCAGGGACGATTTCTGGCTCCTGAATTTGTTTGGGGGTGGGTGTGATGCCAGGGAGGGCGTGAGGGTCAGCTGCCCGCAGGGCAAGTACCTGTCCCCTCTGCCCTCTGGCCCTGAATCTGCAATTGTTTGCTTGTCTGTTTGGGATTGCGTTTTTGTGCAGGAATGACACTTGGTGGGCTCAGGGGGCTGTGCGGGAGGCTGGGGGTCGCACTCGGGGTGGCGAGTGTCAGACTGGCAGCTCTCTGGGCTCTGGAAGCTGCAGTGGTCGCTCCCCTGAGACAGACTCTCTCCTCTGCTCTTCAGAGATTTATCCCTGAGAACGAGTGTGCCTCAGAAGGCCCCACAGTGGGCTCGACGGTCAGGGCCCGGTAGTGGCCGCAGCAGCGTCTGACCACCTGACCATGAGTCTGCTGAGGCCCAGCGGGCTGAAGGCCCCCACCAAGATCCTCAAGCATGGGAGCTGGGCCCTGAAGGCGCCCTCAGCCAGTAAGTGCGCTCAGCCCGGGCCAGGGGAGACTCATTCCCACCCGGGAACCCCCTCCCGAGTCCTCGCCCGGGAAGGGCTCCCTGAGCTATAGGCACGTTCGCGGCTCTGGGGACAGCTCTCACACAAGAGTGTTGCGTTCTGTGACTTTAGTGTCACGGCAACTGGTGACAGCTGAGGCGACCAACACGCTCCCTCCTAAATGCTAGCCCCCTCACCCGGGCTTGGGGACAGGCTGAGGGAGGTGGACTCACCTGGAATAAAGGGCCTCATTGCCGGCCGTAGCCACAGGACAGTGGGGAGGGCAACCGGCACCCCATGTGACTCTCCAGCCTCAACCTCACATGAGTGACCCTGAGCGCAGAGCCAGAAATAGGCCCTGCGGACTGGCTGGGGTGCTCCCCCCCTAAAAGAAAAAGAAGATGGGCCAGTGGACACAGCAGAAATAAGACACTGGGTTGGAGCTTTCGCCTGGCTTGGTCCCTAGCATCACGGGGTGTGTCCAAAGATTTCCCCTCAGCTGCCCAAATATGACTGTGGCCTGGGATGCTGCAGTAGGTAGGCACGTCCCCTTCACGGCGGGCCCGGCCAGGCTTCGCCACAAGCAGCCCCGGCATTGGCTGGGAGTAGCCCCAAGCACTGCTGGGTGTCCCTCCCCGCCCAACCACACTTTAACTGGACCTGGACAGGCCCTTCCTGACCCTTCTGACCCTTCTGACCCTTTCTGCTGTTCCAGCGGCTGCTCCCGTTGAGAAGTCCGTGCCTGGGGAGAAAACCCCCAGCGCCCCCTCCTCGGAGACGCAGGAGGAGTTTGTGGACGACTTCCAGGTCGGGGAACGAGTCTGGGTGAAGGGGAACAAGCCTGGATTCATCCAGTTCCTCGGGGAGACCCAGTTTGCCCCTGGTCAGTGGGCCGGGATCGTCTTGGACGAGCCCATCGGCAAGAACGACGGCTCGGTGGCGGGTGTGCGCTACTTCCAGTGCGAGCCGCTGAAGGGCATCTTCACCCGGCCGTCCAAGCTGAGCAGGAGCTGGCAGGCCGACGATGAGACCAACGGCCTGCAGCCAGCGCCTGCTGCCCGGGTCACACCGCCCCTGTCGGCCTCCCCGGCCCCTGCCGCCGCCCCGAAGGCACCCCAGCCCTCCACAAAGGAGGCACCAGCCGCCCCTCACATCAGCAACCTGACCAGGACGGCCAGCGAGTCCATCTCCAACCTCTCGGAGGCTGGCTCCCTCAAGAACGGGGAGCAGGAGCTGAAGCTCGGGGACCAGGTGCTGGTGAGTGCCGATGGCAGCGGTCGCGGGTGGGTGTCCATTCGCCTGTCTGGTCCATCAGCTTTTGCAGACTCGCGGCTTGGGTGGAAGCACGAGCAGCCAGGACACCTGGTCCTGCAGTTTCCAGCGTGATGGATGCGTGCGGGGATGCTGCCAGTTTTACCAGTTTAGCCAAAACACGGTGGAGGGGTCATGCCGTGGGGAGGCCGCGTGCTTTGCACGCCTCTGACCCGGGTTTAAGTCTTGGTCCCATGTACAGTCTCCCAAGCACATCCCGGAGTGATCCCTGAGCACCAAACCAGAAGTAAGCCCTGAGCACTCTGACTGTGACTCAAAAAACAAACCAACGAACAAAGTTGGAAATCAGTTCCATTGCTCTGGTTTGTGATGTTTATGTTTGGGGCATCACAGGGCTCACCCCGAGGCGCTCCGGGCCATTCCGTGCCCTGCTGTGCGCAAGCCCTGAGCCGTCTCTCCAGACGTGTGTGGTTTGGTGTTTGGGCCACACCTGGCCGTGCTCAGGGCTTCCTCCTGGTGCTGAACTCAGGGATCTGGTAGGGCTCAGGGGACCATCTGGGGTGTCGGGGATGGACCCTGGGTAGGCCACGGGTAGGGACCCGTCTCCGGAACATTCTCAAGAGTATGTTTTGCTGTCTTGGTTGCTCGATCTTCAGACTCAGCACCTGCTCTTGGGTTTCTCTGAGCAGCTCCTGGAAGGCCTTCGGTGGGGGCGAGGGGGCACCCTTTGTGAGATGAGTTTCTGGTGGGGGTCACCAGGTCCCTGCACATGGCATCCTCAGTCCACCCCAAGCCCATTCCTCTGCACAGGTCCCCTAAGCAGAGGCGCTTGGCTGTAGACAACTGTTCTCCCCCAGCAGAAGCACTCAATAACGCTTTCAGAACCCGTGGGAAGCGGCCGGGAAAAGTCACCTCGGGGACATCTGAGGCGGGCGGCTCTGACCAGACAGACTGGGGGCTGGCCCGGAGCCAGTGGCTTCCCGGGGACCACAGGGATGGACACCGCCAGGCCGGTGTCAGAGCTGTGGAGGCCGGAGAGGAGAGCTGTGAGGAGACCTGCCTGCAGGCGCAGGGTGGCCCTCGGAGGGTCCTGGAGGGTCACGGTCAGGGTTCAGGGATGGCCAAAGAGTAACACGGGGAGGGAATTGGAGCTGGAGGAGACTCACGGTTTAAAAACTGTTTGGGGGGCTGGAGCAGTAGAACAGCAGAGAGGGCGTTTGCCTTGCACTCAGCAAACCCGGGTTCCCCGGTATCCCATAGGGTCCCCTAAGCATCGCAGGAATGATTCCTGAATGCAGAGCCACGACTCACCCCTCAGCATCGCCAGGTGTGACCCAAAGACCCAAAGATCAAAAAAGACTTTTTTTTTTAACTTGCATTCACAACCGTCCACACCCGGACACAGGGACACCAGTGTCGTTGGAACAAGGGAGCGGGGACACTGCCACTGGCTCTGCGGTGAATAACTCTGATCAGTTATTCATTTATTGGTGGTGGTGCTCAGGGCTGAGTCCTGGCCCTGTGCTCAGGGACCACATCCGGGCAGGTGTGTGCAAGGCCAACGCCCTGCCCGCTGTGCTGTTCCATCGCTCCATACCTCAGCTAGAGCACGCCTTTCAAAAAAAAGTTTTTGAGGGTTTTTGGGGGGAACCACAACCAGCATAATGGCTGTTTTCTGAAAGAAGAAGGGGGAAAAAAGAAAACCCAAACACTTTCTTTGGTCTTTTTCCTAATTCAAGGAAGGTTTGCTTGGCGCTCCACGGCCTAACGCAGCCGTGGTCAGGAGGCCGTGGCGAGTGGGGGCTGGCCTCAGGGCACTGAGGCGAAGCTCCCGTGCAGGGCTGCGCCCTCCCGGCTCTCCAAAGGGCCTCCTGCCCTTTGCCCCATTCTTCCCTGCGCACAGGAAGTCTAGGTTCTGCGCCAGCTGGCCCCGATGTTTACGGGACTGACCTCCGAGGAGCCCTTCGAAGGCTCTGACATGGCTGTTCCAGACTTAGGCCTGTGGAAGGCGGTCCCCTGCCCCTGGCACTCCCCATCCCTGGCAGTGGACAGGTTGCCCCCATGCTTGTGCTACTTTGGTTCTCTTTGGAGACTCAGGGACCCTCATTGGGGTCACTGGAAATGCCCAGCTCTGACCTCAAGTCCCGTCTGTGCTCGCAAGTAGGCCGGGGTCGCAGAGCGGGACAGTCAGTCGCTCTGGTCAGTCTTATGGTGTCTCAGAGAGGGAGGTCACTCTGTCCGTCCTGTGGCGTCTCAGAGTCCAACCGTGAAGAGCTTCTCCGGGCTGATGTGCGGTGGTTCTCCTGACCTTGGGAGATCACTTCCCTTCTCTCCAGCTGAGCTCTGACAGAATGTTCTGGAGACAGGCTTGCAGCAGTTTTGGGCAGATGATATTTCCAGGATATGATGTCAGGGTCTTGAGAGAATTGACTGGCTTCCAGCTGTGCTGTTAGAGGAGGCTGCTTCAAGGTCGGGGACGGAATGTTCTGTGCCAAATTCTTCGCCGATGACCAACTGTGAGACAGGAACTTTGCAGCCTCTTCTCAGCCCAGGGCCGCCACCCCAGCCACCTGTCTCTTGTTCTTTTATTCCTTGTCACACTCACAGTGCCCAGGGCCCATGCCTGGCCACGGAGGCTGTGCCAGGGCCTTTGCAGATGGCACTTCAGGACTCGCAGAGACAGTCCTGGGTGACGCTGCTACCCCTCGTGCTGCGAGTGACCCCCTAGCACGTGAACCCAGTCCTACCCCAGACCCGAAAAAAGAAAACTGCGCTCTCGGGCATTATTAGTTGAGGTTTCTCTCTCTCTCTCTCTCTCTCTCTCTCTCTCTCTCTCTCTCTCTCTCTCTCCTTTCTGTTTTGACTTTTTGGTTTTGGGGTCACTCAGGAATCAGTCTTGGCGGGCTAGGGGGACCATCTTGGGTGCTGAGGATTGAACCCAGGGTGGCCGCACACAAAGCAAGTGCCCTTCCCCCAGTGCTCCAGCCCTATTTGTCAGCATTCCCGTCAGTGTCCAACGCTGTGATTCTGCTTTGCTCTGCGTCCCAGGGGCCAAGCGTGAAGCCAAGGCATAGTGAAGGAGAACTGGAAAATGGAAGTCCGCTAAGATATGAGAACAGTCATTTTCCTTTAGCTGGTTTCTGGCTTAATTGTTCTCCAGCGGTGGGGTTGCCACGGCTCCGCTCCCACACCCACGGGGCAGCGACCCCCTCACCACACCAGGTGGCTGGCCTGGGTCAGAGATTCCCGGGGGTGTGGTCAGCCAGGCCACCGGTGTCAGCAAGTGGGTGTGAATGCCGCTGCCTTGCATGGACACTGAGCAGCAGCATCTGCTCACCCTGTAGGGGTTGCAGGGGTAAATGGCACCTTGACCTTTGGGATTTCTTAAGGAAATCCCTACTCTGAAGCCAGAATGTTCCTTCTCGGGGGTGGGGGCGCTATGCGCAGTCCAGGGTGCCTGACCTGCGTCCCTCCGGCAGGTGGGAGGCGTGAAGGCCGGTGTGGTGCGCTTTCTCGGGGAGACGAACTTCGCTAAGGGGGATTGGTGTGGTGTGGAGCTGGACAAGCCGCTGGGCAAGAACGATGGCGCCGTGGCCGGAACGAGGTAGGTGCACCTGCCCCTCCCCCAGACAGCCTGGAGCAATGCACGGTGCCCGGGAGGCGCTGAGGGGACTGCAGGCCACTTCACTTGGTTCTTAGGCGGGGCCACTTCCGGTGGCACTCGGGGACCCTGCAGGGATGTGGGGACAGCCTGGGGCTCCCACATGCAGCTGTGCTCGGCCCGCAGGAACCCCCCGGGCCTGCTGTCACCCTTCAGATGCCGGGGAGGCTGCTTGGAATCGCCCCTGGTTTGCACGGTGGGGGTGGGCGGCGTGCGAGGGAGTGTGTGTGTGAATGTTTGAATGTGTGTGCTTCGGAGTGTGGCTATGTATGTATGAGGGTGTGTGTATGTGAGCGTGTGAGTGTGGGGCTGTGAGAGTGTTGGTGAGGGCATGAGCATGTGAGTGTTGGTGGGGGTGTGAGCATGTTTGTGAGGGAATGAGAGCGTGTCATTGTTGGTTTGAGAGCGTGCAAGTGTTGGTTGGGGTGTGCGTGTGTGTGACTGTGGGGCTGTGGGAGTGTGGGAGTGTTGGTTGGGGTGTGAGTGTGAGTGTGTTTTTGTTGGGGTGTGAGTGTTTGTGAGTGTGGGACGTTGGGAGTGTGGGAGTGTTGGTTGGGGTGTGAGTGTGTGGGAGTGTGGGATTATCGGTTGGGGTGTGAGTGTGTGAGTGTGGGGTTGAGGAAATGTGGGAGTGTTTGTTGGGGTGTGGATATGTATGTATGAGGGGTGTGTATATGAGTGTGTGAGTGTGGGGCTGTGGAAATGTGGGAGTGTTGGTTGGGGTGTGAGTGTGTTTGTTGGGGTGAGTGGGAGTGTGAGAGTGTGGGACTGTTGGTTGGGGTGTGAGAGTGTGGGAGTGTTTGTTGGGGTGTGAGTGTGTGGGAGTGTGGGGCTGTGGGAGCGTGTTAGTCTGTGGGCGTGTGAGGCTGTGGGACTCAGTGGACGCCTCGGTCGGCGCCTGTCTCTCTTGCCAAAGGGGTCTTTTGTCCCCCCCTCCTCGTTGTCGCAGGTACTTCCAGTGTCAGCCCAAGTACGGCTTGTTTGTTCGCATTCACAAAGTCACCAAGATCGGCTTCCCCTCCACGACGCCGGCCAAGGCCAAGGCGGCCCCCGTGAGGCGTGTGATGGCCACCACCCCCGCCAGCCTGAAGCGCCGCCCGTCGGCCTCCTCGCTCAGCTCCGTGAGCTCCGTGGCCTCATCCATGAGCAGCAGGCTCAGCCGCGTGGGACTAGTAAGAAGCTCCCCCCACCCCGCGCGGTTCTCAGGCCCTCACAGACTCCCACGGCCCCAGGGGTGAGAGGCGGAGCAGGACTGGGTGGGCTGGGCTGCTCCGGGGGGCAGGCGAGCGGCTTCCCAGCCACCACCGGTGACAGGAGCAGGGATGGGCCTTTCCTCGGGTGCTCAGGGCTCAGGCCGCCTTAGGGATGAAGTGGGGGAGCTGAAGAGGGCGTCGGAGGGTCAGAGCGGGACCCAGAGACTCTGGGGAACGCTTGGCGCTTGGCGTTGCCTGTTTGCTCTCTCCGTCCCTCCCTGCTCCCTCCTGTCCCTCTGCACCCCTGTCGACATGCAGAGGGGCCTCGACTTCTGTCCATTGCGGGGCTGCAAGTCAAAGCTGGGACCTCGTGGCTTCTCCCCTCACGTCTCTCTGAGTCATAAACACTAAAGTGTGTCCGAATGTGCAAGGGTGTCCTGAGATATTGTCCACAGGGAAACGGGCCCACGATGGAGATGTGTCCCAGGGGGCTGGCTTTGCTGGGGGCTGCGCTTCCTGCCGCCTCCTCTGCTCCCTGCATTGACCCTCGATGCGGAAGAGGAGGGAGTGAGTGTGTGTGCAACGGAAGATACAAAACAGATGACACGGGAACGGGAGCCAGGAGGCCACGCGCCGTGGGCACAGGCCTGGGGCCAGTCCTGTCTTGCTCGACCACCACCAGGTTTCCCTGCCCTGCCTCCATCCTCACGTCCGAATCCTCCTTCCCCTCGCCTCACCATTTAGGAGGGGAGCAGACTCAAGCCCCTCGCCTTCCCTCGCGAGCCAGCCCGTTTGTGGAATTTGGTTTTGTTTCTCTGCTTGACTGTGGGCCACACCCTGCAGTGCTTGAAGGGGCCGTTTGCAGTGCTGGGGTTGAGCCGGGGCCTCCCACATCCGAGCAAGAGCCCCACGCCTGAGCCGTATCTCCAGCCTCCCCCCGCTGTCTTGTTTTGTTCTGTTCTGGGGTCACACCTGGCAGAGCCCAGGGCTTTATCCCGCCTCTGTGCGCGGGATTATTCCTGGCGGGCCTCCGGGATTGAGCCTGGGCAGCGCTGGGGCTTCGCTCTCCAGCCCTTTGGCCCCTGCCTTGCATATCTTTACGCAGGGCGGAGCTCACTCCTGCACTGCACATCACCGTTAGCACATATGACAGGAATATAGAATGATTCTGTGTGACTTCATGGAAGTATACCTCGACAATGTAATTCCATACGTGCACACACAAGTGTTCACACACACACACAGCGACTCATACATGTACACGTAGTGCATACCATATATACACAGGCTTATGGGTATATACACACAGGCACGTACCTACATAGACACAATGCGCGTGTGCACACAGGTGTGTGTAGATATGCCCAGAGGAACGTACGTGCATGCATACATACATGCACACAGGTCCGGGCGTGCCCTGTGGGAGCCTCCCGGTTCGCTTGTTGGCTGAGTTGCTCTCTGAGGTACCAGGCTCCCACAGAGGGTCTGGCCTTGCTGGCATGGAGCCTGGGGCCTCACACACCACGCGCAGGGCAGAGGCTTTGGCATCAACATCCTGAGTTCAGTTCGTGGCCCCCACCTTGCCCAGCCCCTCAGCGCTCGCCTCCCCCCATGCCAGGGGTGCTGCTTTCTCTCTGCTCTGGCGCCTGAACTCACAGTCTCGTTCGTCTCCACGGTTGGCTGAAAGAAGCCGTTCGCTCCCGGGCTGGTTTCCTCAGGGAGCTGTCTCGGGCCCAGGAAGCGTGTGTGTGCCCCACCGCTCAGGCCAGGAGGCTCAGGGAACACCGCCGCCCGCCTTTCCTAGTTTTTTATTTTTGCTCTTTGGTTTTGGGGCTCACCTGGCAGTGCTCAGGGACTCCAGGCGTGGTGCTTGGGGGCTGCTCCTGGTGGAGGGGGTTTGAGCCCAGGTCTTGTTGGAGACCCCCAAGGCTGTCAAGCTCTTCCCAGCCACCCCTTGAAATCAGAGTTGAGTGCACTTCCCGGCAGCACTGCACATGGCTGGGCCCGAGAGCTCGTGTGCTCCTAGAAATTTTATTTATTTATTATTTGGTTTTGGGGCCACACTCAGGGGTGCTCAGGGCTTATTCCTGGCTCTCTGCAGGGGGGTTGTGTCACTCCTGACGTTGCTGGATCTTGAACCTCTGAAAGTACCTTCCCCCACCCCCCCCCCCACCCCACAATAGACTCTTTGGCCCTGGGGAGAGCATTTAGTAAGTAAAGTAAGTAAAGGCCCTCCCGTTGATCGTCAATTTGCTCGAGTGGGCCCAGTAATGTCTCCATTGGAAACTTTATTGTTACTGTGTCTGGCATATCGAATACTCTCGGTAGCTTGCCGGGCTTTTAATCTGACCAATATACTTTAAGTGTATTGGGAAGTCACGGCCAGATCCTTACGCAGAGGCAAGGATGAGCCGCTCCCCGGACAGAACCAGGTAGCTCGAGAGCTCCCAGCAGGCAAAGCAGCAGTGGACAGCCTGGGCCCTGCTGGGCCCGTCAGTCAGCAGGCAATTGGCAGCAGCTCAGATGATGCAGGGAAGCGGCAAGAGCAGGGCGATGGGTCAGGCGTGGCCGGGCAGAAGGAGCGGACATCCTCGGCCACCCCCGCCCCAGCCCCCGCCACCGTGTGCCTGAAGAATGAAGACCAGGTCCCGCTGTGTCCCCGCCTGCAGGGGCCGTTGTGCCGCAAGGAAACTGGGTCTGCAGAGCAACCATGAGCGACCACGAGCCCAGGACAGAACGGACAGGACCCCCGGTCCCCGCGGCCCTCCAGCCCACTCCCCTCCCCTCCCACTGTCTTTGCCTCTTCTCTCCTTCCCTTTGTGCTTGATCTTCCCCTGAGCTGCCCTTGCTGTCCTGCTCTCTGGGCGTGAGCCCTCACACATGCTCACCCACCACTTGTTCCTTTTTTTCCTGGATTTTGGGCCACACCCCAGCAATGCTCAGGACTTCCTCCGGGCTCTGCACTCAGGAGTCACTCCTGGTGGGCTCGGGACCCTATGGGGTGGGTACCTGGGATCCAGCTGGGGTCAGCGGCCTGCAAGGCCAGCGCCTTCCCCGCAACTTTACCATTCTAGCCTCTCATCCCCCACTTTCGAAGGCAGATGGCACAGGGGTCTTTTATGGGGTCACACCCAGTGACCCTCAGGGGCACGAGGCCATTCCCAGAGACAAGAGTCTCTGGTTACTGTTATTCAGGCCTGGGGCGGGTGCTGGGGAGAGCGAGGTGAGCTGGAAGGAAGAGGAAGAGAGAAGGGCCAGGCTGCCCTGGGAGACCCAGACGGACCTACAAGGCTGAAGATGCTGGAGCCGGCCTCAAGCTCATGCCAAGGGCTCAGCCTTAAGGAAGCTCAAGCCAGAGCGGGCTGTGGAGGGGGCTGCCTCCGGCTCTCCAGAAGAGTCTCTGGATTCCCACGAAGCCCGTCAGTGGAGCTCAGGTCCTGTCCAAGGATCTTCGGGAAGGTTTCAAGATGCTTCTGCTAAGAGTCGCTGGCCCATATGCAAGGATGCAGCGCTGCTCCATGTGCTTTGCTGAGGATAGCCGTGTGCATGCCCGCGTCCGCCACCCCCACCCCCTTCACGTCTCTTTTTCCTTTGCAGTTGCCAGAAACCTCCTCTCGCTATGCCTGCAAGATCTCCAGCACCACCGCCCTCCAAGAGGCACTGAAGGAGAAGCAGCAGCACATTCAGCAGCTGCTGGCCCAGCGGGACCTGGAGAGGGTGGAGGTGGCCAAGGCCACGAGCCATGTGGGGGTGATAGAGCAGGAGCTGGCCCTGGCCGGGACAGGCACGACCAGGTGACGTCTGTGCAGACGACAGTGCCGGGGCCAAGAGACGCTTGCGGCAAATGCTGGGCGCGACCTTGGTGCAAGCAGTGCAGGGAGAGGCCGTGGGTCCCCGTCTGCCGTCGTTGCGGTGGCATCCGGCGCGTGGTTTGATCACATGCCCCTTATCCTCACCCCGTGGGGTTCCGGGAGCGCCAAGTTGTCCCCGCTGGTGCTTTCGTGGTGTGGTTCCCTTCTGGCCTTCCAGAAACGCTGCAGCTTAGGTGGGAGACGCGTTCAGTGTGCCGCGGTGGCAGGTGGCGCTACCAGCCCACAGAGGGCTGTCGGGGGCGGGCGAGGACACTCACGCGCAGTTGCCTCCACAGCACGTCCTGGAGCTAGGGGCCAAGATGGACAAGCAGCGGGCCATGCTGGAAGCGAGCGACCGGGAGAAGGTGGAGCTGCTGAACCAGCTGGAGGAGGAGAAGAGGTGAGGCCGTGCCCCAAGCTGGGGAACTGCCTCGGGCGGGGCGCGCCCGGCCTTCCAGGGCTGTGAGGACCAGAAACCACCGGGTGCCCAGTCCTGAGCGTGGCCACACGGGGGGGAATGGGGGAAGCTCACTGGAGCCCAGGCACCCCCGGCCCTCACTGCTGTGTCCACGTGGCCTGGTGTTCCGGAGGCCTGTGCTGGGTGGCTGGGAATTGTCGTATCCCAGTGGGGCCCTGTGGGAGTCCCTGGGGTTAATCCTGGGCGGGAGGAAACCCACAGCACCCATGGGGCACGGCAGCAGACAGGCAGGGCTCAGGCCAGGCTGCAGACAGACGGACACGGGGTGCCGGCCAAGACGGTCTTCTCAGATGGGCTCCCGGCAGTGTGGTGCCCAGGGGCACTGCCAGTACCCGGCTCAGCCCCTCAGCTCCACATGCCGAACTCGCCACGTCCCCTGGGAGCCCCTCCTGCCCCCCCGCCCTGGCCCCGAGTCGTTTGCTGCTTCTCCCCCAGGGGCTCAGTTGTTGTCCCGATGCGGGGACAGGCGCTGGCTGGGAGGGACTGGCACGCACACCTGGTCAGTCTCTAACCACCTCTGTTAGCTGCGAGGCAGAAAAGGCTGATATGGCACTGCGCCTGGCATTGGCTCGACAGAGCTTCCTCCTGTAGCCTGCGGGTCCCACCCAGTGCTCGCAGCCGAGGGGACTCGCTGACTTTCTTTTTTTTCTTTTTGGGTCAACCCAGCGATGCTCTGGGGTTACTCCTGCCTCGGCACTCAGGAATTACTCCTGGCATTGCCCAGGGGACCATAATGGGATGCTGGGAATTGAACCCGGGTCAGCCACGTGCAAGACAAACGCCCTGCCCGCTGTAATCTCGCTCTGGCCCTCGCTGACTCTCTCAGCCCTCCTGTGTGTGGAGCCGGGGGCTGGGTCGGGCGCGCATCTACAGGATGGTGGCCCTCATGGGGGGCAGCAGTGACGCCCCTCACAACTCTCCCTCTCCCCCACAGGAAAGTGGAGGACCTCCAGTTCCGAGTCGAAGAGGAGTCCATCACCAAAGGCGACCTGGAGGTAAAGCCCGGGCAGGTCCCAGAGGCTTGCAGGGTGCAGGCAAGGATGCGGGGTGGCCTGGCCGACCCCGCCGGGACCACTTCTGCTGGAGACTCAGAATCAGACAGGGATACCTGGGGTCATGCACCTGGGAGGGCCCGGCGGAGGCACCTCTGCTCCTTGGGGCCGGAGGCTGCTGTTGATGAGCGTTTTTCTCTCGTTCTGACAGTTGGGTCTACGCCTTTGCCTCAGCTTTGATTTTCAGTCGAGCAGCACAAATCAAATCCTTTAGAACCCCAGTTTTTTGGAAGGTATTCCTTAAAACAAGAAAAAGCAAACAGTCAGTTTGCAAAAGAATAATTTCTATTTCTGCTTCCTTTCCTTCCTGTTTTAAGTTCATGGAAATTTTGTTTTCCCACCAGAAGGAGGTGAAGGCCCTGCAGGCGGCCTCCGAGAAGCTCGCCAAGGAGAACGAGGGGCTGAGAACCAAGCTGGACCATGCCAACGAGGAGAACACGGACGTGATCGCCCCGTGGAAGTCCAAGCTGGAGACGGCCATCGCCCCGCACCAACAGGCCATGGGTGAGCCGAAGGCGTCCGTGAGCCGGGGCGTGGGCGCCGAGGCGGCCGAGCTGGCCGAGCTCAAGATGCAGATGGAGAGGCTGCAGTTCGAGTACCAGCAGGAGGTGGAGAACTTGAAGGCCCAGCAGGTGGCTGAGCGTGCAGCGCACGCCTTTGAGCTGCAGACGCTCAGGTCGCGGCTGGACAGGACGGCCCAGGAGCAGAAGAACAGCCTGGAGGCCGCGCGGGCCAAGCTGGACCAGACCGAGGACCAGCACCTGGTGGAGATGGAGGACGCCCTGAACAAGCTGCAGGAGGCGGAGATGAAGGTAACGCACCTGGAGGAGTTGTGGGCCATGTGTAGTCAGCAAGCCCAGGCCCTGGCCGATGCCACGGCACAGCTGGAGGCCACTCAGCAGAAGTTCTTGCAGCTCGATGGACTCCAGAAGGCCAGTTCCGAGGTAAATTGGGAATGGAGAAGCTCAGGCGGCAGCTCCAGGTGGCTGAGCGGCAGATTCAGGAGTTAGAGAATGCAGAGCGGGCCGAGAGTGGCAGGTTGGTACCCGGGCGCCCTCGCCCACTTCCACGCTCGGTCCCTGCATGCTGTGTGTCAGTGTGCTCGCCGCCGTGTTCCGGCTTGGTGCTGACAGGTCTCCCGGTCACGTCCCGTGCGGTTCCCTCTGATGGGACTGAGAACGTGTCGGCACGATTCTGGGGCGGTCATTGGTCCCCAGCACCCGGATGCCATGCTAGCCTAGGCCCTGGCTAATCGGGCCCATCTGGGGTCTTTCTGAAACAGAGAACTCTTCACAAGGCCAGTGAGAAAACAAGATAGGAGCCCCCAAAGCAAACCTCTGCCCCCCCCCTTGGGCCCCCTGCGTACTCGCCGACTCCGCCCAGACCCTTGGGCTCGAGGCTGACCGCAGGGGTCCTTCCCTGACCTTGCTGACCACCTGCTCGTGTGACTGGCTTTGCCGTTCTCTCCCCGAGGCGCCTCAGTTTCCAGCTGGTGCTCAATGCCTCTGAACCTCTGAGCTCCCTCAGGGCTGGTGACGTGGCCCATCTTGGTATTTCTCATTGCCAACCCCTCCCTGCCTGCAGCACAAGCCCCAGCCCAGCCCTGCAGAGATTTCATCCCTTTCAGCCTCTAAGGGGTGCTTGGGCCAAGTCCGCCTTCCAGCATGGCCTCCTGCTGGCCACGGGCATGGACTCTCATGGTAGCCCTGACCCTGGGGAAGGACAAGACAGTGAGATCTGGGCCAAGCCGAGGAAGCTGCAGTTCTCACCAAGGAGCCCCGAGAAATGCCCTTTTCCTCCTATAGGATTGTGGTGGCAGAGACGCGCCCTCCCAGCCGCCTCCCTCCCACCCCCCTGGCGCTGTGCGCTTTGTTGGAGAAACTTCTCTGTTGGCCAAGTTGGAAGGGCTGTGGGATTTGTAGACAGGACTGACAGACATAACAGAAGGTCCCAGAGACCCCCGGGAGTTCCTCTCAGGACTCAGGACTCCTTAGCTGGCATTCCAGAAACAAACGGAATCAATTCCTAGGACACAGCAGGGGATAGTTGACCCACTTGTTCGCATCAAGATGTAACAAACATCAAGTTCTGTGACTGCTGTCTAGTGGATTAGAGGTTCTTCGATTTAAATTTCATATTGAGACACCTCAGACTTTTAAAGTCACAGACAAGAAACTACAAGAAAGTAAATCTTGGGGGCCAGAGTGATAGTACAGTGGGAAGGGCATTTGCCTTGCACACGGCCTACGTGATTTCGATCTCCAGGATCCCATAGGGTCACTGTCATTGTCACTGTCCTCCCGTCGTTCATCTATTAGCTCTAACGGGCCAAAAAAAAAAAAAAAGATAACCTGTTCTTCCCTCCTTCCCCTCCCTTTCCCTTTCTTCCCTGTTTCCTCCCTCCCTCCTTCGTATCCTTAGCCTCCCTCCTCCCTTGCTTACGTCCTTCTTCCTCGCCAAGCCATGCTCTGGGCTCTGGGGTCCTCCCGCCCAGCAGTAGTGGGTCTTTTCTGCTTGTGGACCGATCTCAGGCTCGCCCGGTGGTGCTGCAGTTCCAACTCGGGCCTGGTGTGTACTCCAGCCCTTTGTGCCGTCTCCCCGCCCCTGGAAAGTCAATCTTTCTCATAGGCTTTCTTATTTTCTGGTCGCTCCAAATTTAGGTCTAGAAAACGCCTCTGTTTGAGCCGTTTTCAGTCACCACTAGACAGTCATCACCAGAACTGATGGCGCCAAGGCTTCGAGAGCTTCAGGCAATCGCGCTCACCTCACACCTCTGTTCTTTGGGGTTGTGTTGGGTCATGGGCTTCTCATATGTGCTTTCTGTTTTGTTTTCCCCTTCCCGTTCCTGTTCGTCTTTTTGCTCCATTCACTCCATCCTTGTCACTCTGGTAGGCCGAGAGCCTGGCCGAGGAGCTGCAGGGGAAGGAGCTAGCGCTTCGTCGTCTTCAGGAGAACTTGAACGAAGTCAGTCGAGTGAAGGAGGCTTTGGAGAAAGAGCTTCGGAGTTTGGTGAGTACCAGGGGAGTCGGACGCTGATCTTCACCTTGCTGAGGGCAAAGCGAAGCCTCCTCAGGCGAGCTCGGCCCTATCGCCTCTGAGGCTCACGAGCGTGTCAGCTAGAAAGCCCCAGGGGCTGTGCGAGCCCCCATTGGGGCAGCAAAGGTAGGTGCGCTGCTCTGTCCCCTCTGTGCCCGTCGCCTCTGCCTGATCAGTGAGTGGCCAGCGATGCTCCCGGAGTGCCGGGCTCCTTCCTCCCCTCAGCAGCGCCTCAGGCTCCTCTCCCATGCCCCTGCCCCCTCGGCTCTGTCTCCCCTGGCAGCCGGGAGCCCTGGGGGCTCACAGCAAGGGGAGGGGGTGAGAGACATGTGCTGGGAAGGCCGCTTTTCTGGAACCTTCCAGACACCTTCCTGCACTGGATCAAAGTGTGTTTTCTGGTTTTCTTTTTAGGATTTGTGTGTATGTGTGTGTGTGTGTGTGTGTGTGTGTGTGTTTGTTTGTGTCTTGGGCTTTTTAGTATTCATCTGTGCTGAGACCTTCACCTGGTGGCCCTCAGGGGACCACGTGGAATGCTGGGTATTGAACCTGGGTTGGGCACATACAAAGCAAAACACCTAAAGTATCTGGTTGTTTTTGTTTTTGTTTTCTTTTTTGGCTTTTTGGGTCACACCTGGTGATGCTCAGAGGTTACTCCTAGCTCTGCACTCAGGAATTACTCCTGGCGGAGCTTGGGGGACTACATGGGATTCCGGGGATTGAACCTGGGTCAGCCACGTGCAAGGCAAACGCCCTCTCCACAGTCCCATCACTCCGGCGCTGGACCTTGATGAACTGGGCCTTTCCATTGAGACTGTACTGACGGGGTCCCGTCAGGACCCGAGACTGAGCCCTGAAGGAGCCATTCAGAACCCTGCGGGAGGTTTCCAAGGGAATCGTCCTATCGTCCTTGCCGGGGCAGCATGGGCCCAGCACACGCAGCATCACAGTCTATCTGTGTATGCTAGAGAACATGTGTACACACGTGTGTCCACAGCCATGCACACACCCCAGTATACACACATGGGCTTCTGTCATGTGCAGACTCATACATGTCCTTGGACATGCAAGCAAGTACATACATACTTGCACAACTCACTCATGTTTGCCAGGCAGGTACACACTGGGCATTGATAGCTGAGTTTGGGGTGGATTATTTTTGTTTTCTGGGTTTTTTGTTCTTGTTGTTCTTGTTGTTTTTTGTCTTTTTGGGTCACAGCTGGGGACATTCAGGGGTCAATCCTGGCTCTGCACTCAGGAATTACTACTGATGGTGCATCCCCTATGGGATGCTGGGGATCAAAGGCGGGTTGTGCAAGACAAACACCCTCCCCGCTGGGCTATTGCTCTGGCCTTGGGGTGTATATATATATATATATATATATATATTTTTTTTTTTTTTTTTTTTGGTGGTGGTGGTGGGGGACTAGTGCCATGCCTGTCAGTCCTTGGAGGCGACTCCTGGCTTTGTGCTCAGGATATTCCTGTTAGTGCCGGGATTCAGACCGGGGCCAAGTGGCCTTACTCAGTGCTCTCTCTCTCCCAGCCCCCAGATGATCACCATGTTTATTGGGGCTCCCCCCAAACTCGGTGGTACTCCTGGCTCAGGGTCTAACCGGCTGGCTGTTCTCGAGCGCCTGGACCCTGTGCCAGCCCTTCAGCCCCCAGTATCTATCTATGTTCTAAGTGCAAGTTCATTTTCACGAACATTGTGTGTGTGTGCTGGTGAGCAGAGTCGCCGTGTGTGTTCGGGTATGTTTGTGTGTGTTGTGTGCGTTGTGTGTGTGTGTGTGTGTGCACGCGCGCGTGTGTGCTGGGGGCAGGCAGGGGGCCTGCGGCTGACGGTGGCCCCCGGCTCCCCGCAGGGGGAGAAGGTGGACGTGAGCCGCAGCCAGTCCCAGGCTCTGCAGGCCGAGCACGCCAAGTCCACCACGGAGAGCCAGGCGCAGCACGAGGAGGCGCTGCAGGCCCTGCAGAAGCTGCTGCTGCAGGCGGAGGAGAAGCTGCAGGCGGTGCAGGCGGAGAACGGGAGCCTGCTGCGGGAGGTGGCCGAGCTGAAGACGCAAGCCGACGAGGCCAAGGTGTGTGGGCGCAGGGCCGCCGTCTCGGGGTCGGGCTCTGTTGGGGGCCTCGGCCTGCAGCCTCAGACACTTCCTCTGCCCGTCGGCGCCTGTGAGAGCCGGAAGGGGGTTGCTCCCGGGGCGCCCGGCAGAGCACATAGAAGCCCAGGGACCCCAGCTTGGGCTGTCCGTTTTGTTTTCAGCTTTTTCGGTAAGTTCAGGCCTTCATGTTTTCACTTGATTGCTCAAAGGCATTTTTTCATGTATCAAAGAAATGTTAAGGTTCGAAGCTCAGTGGGGAGAAATAAAGCGGCTGGAACTAGTGCAGTGAGAGGGCACTTGCTGTGCACGTGACCTACAGGGGGATCCCCAGCATCCCCCAGGGTCCCCCAAGCACCCAGGAGGAAGCCGTGACCTCTGCCGGGTGTGAACCCCAAAACAAGAAGGAAAATAATGTACACACACATATATGTGTGTACATACATAACATGTACATATGTGTACATCTTTATATCCATATAATAAAGGTAAAGGTAAAGGCCCTCCCGTTGATCGTCGATTTGCTCGAGCGGGCCCAGTAACGTCTCCATTGGAGACTTTGTTGTTACTGTGTCTGGCATATCCAATACTCTCGGTAGCTTGCCGGGCTCTCCGAGAGGGGCGGAGGAATCGAACTCGGGTCAGCCATGTTGGCCGCTTGTAAGGCGAACGCCCTACCCGCTGTGCTATTGCTCCATCCATATAATAAGTGTATTTTAATTCATATGTACATATTTTGATACATTTTCAGTTTTACACGCTTGGTCCCATGTATAGTTTATACATATATGTGTATGCCTATACATGTATGTGCTTGTATGTATATGTGTGTGTATACATACCTATAAGCCAATGCAAAGAAAACGGAAGCGAGCTTACATCAGAGGAAACCAGGGCTGCTGAGTGGCGGCCATGGCCCGCGTGTGTGTTGGTGCCCGGCCTCTTTCCACCACGCACCAGAGCCAGGGCTACGTCTCCTCTCTGGACCACCTGCACGGCCCAGTTCTGTGGCCAGCAGCCTCGTGTGCATGCTCAGGTCAGCCCCATTCCGGTAACCTGACCGTCAGCGGTCAGCTGCCCAGCACACACCAGTAGCCTGCTGCAGCTCATGGCTGCTGAGCTGGACAGAGAAGATAGCCCTTGCTGCAGAAAGTTCTGGAAAGTACATGGCGGTTAAACTATGGTGTGCATTGAGACTCAGAAACGAAGACGCACAACCCGTTGCTGACGGGCAGGGAGAGCAGGTGAGGGAGACCCTGGCCCGTGTGCGGCCACTCCTCCTGGAGCCTCTGGGCCCCTCCCAAATTACTGCAAACACTGCCTCCCATTGTTCATCGATTTGCTCGAGCGGGCCCACTAATGTCTCCATTTTGAGACTTGTTGTTACTGTGTTTGGCAAGCATAACCTGTTGGCTTCAGTCTCCAAAGCTTGGTGGATTAGTCTGGATTTTCTATAAAGTGTATAACTTTTGGGACTAAGTCCATTTCCTGCCTCTGTTTGTCCCTGTGAAAATCGTTTGACAACCAGTGGTTGCTTTTCCCTTCCCCTTCTGCACAAAGTTCAACAACAAAATACTTTTTGTGGTTCTTTGAATTGTACTGAAAACTAGTTTTTTAATGCATCCCTTCTATGACAGAGTGATGGATTTTGTAATAGAATAATTGAAGTGGGGGGAAAAAATCTTATGCCCCAATGTCAAGATCCAACTGTACTTAAAACTTCCGGGGAGCTGTCAGGAATAATTTCAGACGGCATTTCAAAAATAAAATAGGCTGATAGTAGAATGGGTAGTGCTGCCTTGTACTCGGCCAACCCGGGTTGATCCCCAGCATCCCGTCTGGTCCTCCAGCCCTGCCAGCAGTGATCCCTGAGCACAGAACCCTGAGCGAGACCCGAACACCACCAGGTGTGGGGCCCCCATCCACAAAATAGGCAGGTAGATATGTTGAGCCCAAGAAGCTAACTGTGTTTGAGCCTCTCCATCCTGCGAGTGTGTGTGTGTGTGTGTGTGTTGTGTGAGTGTGTGCGCGCGCGCGTATACACCGTGTGCAGGTAAGACTACTCTGCCATTTTCATTTCTGGTATTTAGGCCGAGTGTAAGAAGGGCCTGGAGGAGAGGGGCCAGCTGGAGGAGCATGTCAAGAAGCTGGTTCTGGAGAACCTATCCCTGGCCAAGGACAAGGACAACATCATCCAGAAGCTGCAGTATTCCTATCATGAGCTGGCGTGGGATCAGAAGTCGCTGGTGCAAGAGATCGAGGAGCTCACGGCCGAGAAAGAGTCGGCCCTCGAGAAGCAGTTGGAGCTCGACAGCCTGTGCGTGGCCCTGAAGCTGGAGCGTGACGGCCTGGCTCAGAGGAACAAGGAGCTGCAGCTCGAGAAGGACCTGCTGCGCCAGGAGCAGGAGAAGCTGGGCGCCAGCCTGGAGGCGGCGCTGCAGGCCAAGGAGCTGCTGGGCACCGAGGCCAGCTGCCTGCGCACGCAGCTGGACGAGGCCACCAAGACCGTGCACAAGGCCGAGCTGGAGGCGCTGCAGCAGGAGCTCCAGGGGCTGGCGGCCAGCCAGGGCGCCCTCGAGGCGGCGCTGCAGGAGGCCAGGGATGCAGCCCGCAGCCTGGAGAAGACACACGCCAGCGTGCTGCAGGCCAAGGAGGCGCTCGATGCGGAGCGGCAGGAGGAGTGCCGGCGGCTGGCGGAGGACAGGCTCGCGGCACAGCAGGCCCTGGCGCAGGAGCGGGAGGCCCGCGCCCAGGAGACCCAGGCGGCCGCCCACGAGGCCAGCCAGCTGCGAGGCCGCCTGGGGCTGCTGGAGCAGGAGGCGGAGGAGCTGCGGGCGCGTGCCCAGGGGCTGCAGGCCGAGCACCTGGACCTGGTGGAGGAGAAGGCGCGGTCAGACAAGAAGGTGGCCGAGATCCTGCGGGAGAAGGAGCAGCTGGCCGGCAGTTACTTCCTCCTCCAGAAGGAGGTCAGTCGGCTGGCCCAGACCAGCAGCCACGTCTCGGCCAACCTCCTGGAGGCCCAGAAGGACAAGATCAGGCTCACCTTCAAGATCAGAGAGCTCGAGACGCTGCAGTCTTTTACGGTAAAGTGGAGCAGGCCGACCCCCGTTGGCCCCGGGCACCCCCTTTTAGCGGTTAAGAGGATTGCTCTTCGTCGGCACAAGGAGAGGTGCACCCCCACGGAACCCGTGTGTCACGGGCTGTTTGCTGCGGGCGCAGGGACAGCTCGTCACCACGTGCCTGGTGACCTCTAGGACAAGGCATAAGCTGTGAATAAAACCGAGAAAGGACAGTATGTTCATTTCCGGGGGGAGTTCTCACGGAAGATTGCACTGTGGCTCTTCAAGACGTAAGGGAAGGCATGAGAGAGGCACTAAGTTGTAAAGCAAAGCAGTGTCTTCCGGGGGGACTTTGAGCGGTTGCCCTGAGTCTGCTCACTTGGGACTCGGGGGGGGCCCTGTGCCACCAGCAGTGTGCCCGGTGCAGGGCAGCCTGGACTCGAGGGTGCCTGGTGCCGGGCAGGTGTTCTCTCTTCCCAGCTGACTCAGGGTTTGCCGTTCTCCCACTCCCACACCGGTGCTCACTGCTCACATCTCCTCTCCTTCCCCCCCACCCACGCTTTCCATCCAGGCCTGCTTAGCTGTCCGCTCATGTCATTTTTATTCTGTGTGAGGAATGGAGGCTCTTGGGAGCCCTGGGCTGTTTCTGGGTGTCAGTCTTGCTGCTGAGCGGCTCAGACGCGAGTCCCCGTAGGATGAACCGGCGGCCAGCGGGGCCAGAGCCACTGTGGCAGGTGTGGGTGGTTTGTGGGGCGTTTCACGCTGTGTTGTGCCACTGTTGCCAACCCCTCCCTGCCCCCCCCCCCCCCGGCGTGGCTCAACGAGGTTTCTCTCTCCAGGCTGTGCAGACAGCGGAAGATGCCAGGCATTTTATGCAGCAACTGTCCCAGGAGAAGACAGAGACCCTGGCCTCCCTGGAGGACACCAGGAACACCAATGCAAACTTGCAGAATGAGGTGGGTGATGGTGGTGACCAGGGCGTCTAGGCCCGGCCTCAGCCTTGAGAGAAACCATATCCTGGGCCAGAGCGATAGCACAGCGGGGAGGGCGTTTGACTTACACACGGCAGACCCAGGTTCAATCCCCGGCATCCCATATGGTCCCCTGAGCACCGCCAGGAGTAATTGGTCCCTGGTTCTCGCATGGGACAGGAGGGGAAGTGTACCCCTGCGTGACCCCTGTATGACCCCTGGGGAGGTGCTGCGCGGAGTGACCACACAGGATCTGGGAGACATGGGGCGGCCTGGCGAGATCGCTGAACAGCTGACCACTCCCAGACTGCTCGGCGGAGCAAGGAGCCCGGCAGGGACTGGACGCCCCAGTTAGCTCGCCCAGAGCCTGGGCCGGGACAGGAAGAGAAGCCACATGTGTTGACATATGCAGCGTCTCAAGGCTCTTTGATGACCGTGAGAAGGCGAGCCAGTGCCCTCTGACCACACAGCCCCACTTTCCCGGGCTCGAGTGACTGCTGACGGCCTGGGCTGCTCCTCCCTCGCCAGGAGTGATCCCTGAGAACAGAGCCAGGGCTTAGTCCCCACCCACCAAACAAACCAAACCCACAAAGGTTATAGATAAGCGTGTATACATACACAGACATGTACATATGTATATATGTATGTATGCTTCAAAAGAGTCGGGGAATATCTACCATTTAAGATATCCGAGAATGGGGCCGGAGCTATAGCACAGCAGGTAGGGTGTTTGCCTTGCACATGGCCAACCCAGGTTCCATCCCCGGCATCCCATATGGTCCCCGAAGCACCGCCAGGAGTAATTCCTGAGTGCAGAGCCAGGAACTCCTGAGGAATGCCGGGTTGTGACCCAAAAAGCCACCCCCCCAAATTAATTGATTAATCAAAATAAATGAAGCCAAAAAGAAGGAAGCTGAGGAAGAAGGGGCGGTGCTCACCTGGCGCGCGTGAGAACCAGGGGCTGGGCACACAAGGCCGGAACCCCATCCCCGCATGCTCCCAGCACAAGAGGTGATGCTTACGGAGTGAAAGACCCCATGGACAAGGACACATCCTTTCAGTCAAGGGGTTATGTCCTTGCCAGAGCCCGAGAAGCCAGACCCCTCCACTGCCCTTACTCTTGCTGCTCTCCCAGAACCTGGGCTTCGGGCTCCCATAAAATTGGCAGATCTTCACTTTGCCAGAGTCGAACACCACTTTGGAGGGCCTCCTTCCCATCAGGAAGTCCGGTCGCAAACGGAAATGTCCACCAACATGTGGCTGTCCCGGCCACGTTGCGCATGCTCTGGGCACAGAGCTGGGAGAGTCTGGTCCTCTGGGCCGCCTTCCTGCTTCTTGCTCCTGTCGAGGGAGACAGCTGGGTGGGGTCCTCTGGGGTGTGCACACTTGGCTGCAGACCCCAGTGCCCGCACCTACCATCAGCAGGCTCAGGTCTGGCCTGCGGCAGGAGTCAGCCTTGGGGCCTCCTTGATGTCTCTCCTTCCGCAACCCCCTTCCGTCACACCCGGGCCTGCAGCACTTTATAGTTTGAATCCTCTCTGAGGAAGGAGACCATCTGGGTCTCCGTGCCCTGTGGAGTTCCCGCACACCCTCACTTCCTGCACTTCTGTACTTAACAGCCGGTGGCCCTGGACGGCACATGTGGGCTGAAGTGAACTTTACATGTGGGCTGTGGACGTGGACCCTGCATGGGCTTGTTGGGAACTGAACATTTCCATGTTTTGTTTTTTTTTGTTTTCTTTAGCTGGGGGAAGAGAGATCTGTGTTTCTTGGCTCCAGTGTGGGGGGGCCTGGGCAGTCTCAGAGACTCATCAGAACTTGCCCTGAGGGAGAAAAAGAATCAGTCAGCTTTATGGTTTTCTTTCTTCTTTCTTTGGGGGCCACACCTGGCGATACTCCGGGCTTCCTCCTGGCTCTGCACTCAGGAATTACTCCTGGCTGCTCTCCAGTGGCCCCTGTGGGATGCCAGGGATCAAACCTGGGTTGGCTGCGTGCGAGGCAAGCACCTTTCCCGCTGTGCTATCACTCAGACACAAACCTGCCAGTTTTTAACTGAAACATGAATGTTTGTGCCTATAGTCATGCTTACTTTTGTAAAGTGGGATTTCCCCTACCCCCGTGGATTTTAAAGAAGTGAGTCTGTCTTTGTAGGAGAGGGAAGGCCCTCTTGACTCCCTGCTCTGAGAGGAACCGAGGGGGCCCAGCATGTCCTCCTGGGGTCTTCCCTGGGGCACCCGGGAGCTTGCGCTCAGGAAGGGAAAGGGGAGCTCTGGCTGCCTCCAACCCTGGGGCGGGGACTGGAAGCGGGGCCCAGCCTCCTCTGTGGCGGGCTCCGAAGGCTCCTGCAGATGGCTCACCATCTCACGCTCTCCTTTAACACAGATTGATTTCCTGAATTCCGTGATTGTGGACCTCCAGAGAAGGAATCAGGACCTCAAGATGAAAGTGGAGATGATATCCGAGGTGGCTCTCGACGGGAACGAATCAACAATTACGACAACAACTTCGGCCCGGCCACCCCATTCTCTGCACTGTGCAGAAATCACCAGCACTTGAAGGATGACATAACAAGATACTTGTGAAACACCTAAAATAACCAATTTACTGTCTTTACAAGATTTACATTTTTCACTGTGGTTTTAGATGAATGTATGATGAGAAATTCAACATTACTAATTTTGGATTTTCTTATCACAAAAAAATTGAATGAAGGACCTCAACCATCAGAAGTTTATCATCCAGTTTGAATGTATTTTTCTTTATTTGAATGTTTTTTAGTTCTGTAAAAAGTGATAAACAATGTATCATCCAGGCTACATGTTTAATAAGAACTTCTATAATTGTATGTATGATTTTGATGTATTTTTCTCTGGAGATTATCAACTGTCTGACAAGTGAAAGATCTGGATCAATTGAAATTTTTTGTAATAACCATTATTGAAATTGTTTCACAAACTATGTAAAGCAGTATTAAAATTTGAGCAAACAGGTGTTCTATATCTACTTTAATAAAATTATTTCTTTTTTGCCAGTGATAACTGATTATTCTCAGGTTTATTTATAAAAGATTTTTGGCTAGCAATGAAGAACCATAGAGTTAAATGAGTCAAACAGTTTCTACAATGGAATTCTGATACACCAATTTCTTTTTGTTTCTTTATGTTTGTGCCACACCTGGTGATGTCTTAGGGCTTATTCATGGCTCTGCACTCAGGAATCACTCCTGACAGTGCTTGGGCAGACTATATGGAATGTCAAGGATTGAAGCCAGATTGACCACCTGCAAAGCAAATGCCCTACCTGCTGCACTATTGCTCTGGGCTTGTATACCATTTTCTTAAAAGCGTTTATCTTGGGCTAAAGAGATAGTCCAGTGAGTAGGGTACTTACCTTGCATGTGGCTGATCTGGGTTCAATGGCAGGAATCCCATCCAGTCCTCTGTGCCCTGGCAGGAGCAATCTGTAAGTGCAGAGGCAGGAGTAAACCCTAAGAAGCACTGGTCGGGGGTATGGTGCCACCAGCAGGTCAGCCTGTACCTGTGAGGCGAGTGCATCAGCAGCCCGATGGCGCCTTCAGACTTCCAGGTACCCCCAAATTGCTGCTGGGTGTTTGGCCAGACCCCAGAAACTTGGGGCAGAGTTAACCAAGAAAGTAAACAGGCAAAAGTTAGGTATGTGGGAGACACACCCAGAAACCACCTCCAGCTCAGCTATATAATTGGAGGCATGGCCTCTCTGGTTCCTGATTGAACTGCTTAACGGCCATGATCCAAGAGACTCAGAAACAAATCTCGAAACCCAATGGTTTTTGGCAGAGATGTGTCCAGTCCCTGCAGTAAGTTAGAGGCGCTGGGCCAACCAGGTGGGAATAGATTTTGTGCCTTGGCCTGTTCTCCCTGGCAGCCCGCTGGCCGTCATCCTCCAGAGGCCACTGGACAGTCAGGTTTGGGCCCACAGTGACGAGACACGTAGGGCCTCACGGGATGGGGGTGGAGCTGGCCCTTTCCTCCCCAACGAGACCCTAAGTTGTTACCCACAAACGGTCTCTCTGGCCTCTGATCAAGCTTTTTAACGGCAATGATCCCAGAGACTCAAAAACAAATCTCGAAACCCAGAAGCTTTTGGCAGAAATGCATCCAGACCACACGATAGGTTACTGTTGCCAGGCCACCAGAGGGGAGAAAGGGTGCTGTCCCTCCGCCTGCTCCCCCTTGTCGGCTCAGTGGCCGCCATCCGCCAGAGGTCATTGGACAGTCAGGTTTGGGTCCACAGTGATGAGATTCGTGGGGCCTCATGGGATGGGGGTGGAGCCGGCCTTTTCCTCCCAGTCTCAACGAGACCCCCAAGTCACCGCCCATGAACGGCCTCTCTGGGTCCTGATTAAGCTGCTTAACAGCCATGATCCCAGAGACTCAGAAACAAATCTCGGAATCCAGTGGCTTTTGGCAGAAATGCATCTGGACCCTGCAGTAGGTTACTGTCGCTGGGCCATTCCAGGGAGGAAAGGGTGCTGTCCCTCCACCTGCTCCCCCTTGGCGGCTCTGTGGCCGCCATCCTCCAGAGGCCATTGAAAAGTAGGTTTGGGCCCTCGTTGATGAGACAGAGCCTGGCAAGCTATCCGTTGTGTATTTGATATGCCAAAACCAGTAACTACAATGGGTCTCATTCACCTGACCCTGAAGGCTTCACCGACATGGCAGCACTGAGAAGAATGAGAAAGGAGAGGCCAATAAAATCTCAAGGCCGATCTAGGCTGCCACAACGAAGGAAGACAAAAATGATCGTCTGGGTTTTATAGTCTCTGGGTTTTGGCCGTTGATGGGACCAACCTGGCGCTGGCGGCAGCTGGTGGGTGTGACGCCTACCTACTGGAAGATGGGGAAGGGGTCTGGGTGGAGATGGCCCAGTCCCGTTCCGAGTAGGCTTGGAGACCTCAGCCCCAGGACCCGCATGCCTGGGTTCCTCTGCCAGTTCTTTCATGCATGAGGCCCGTCCGGACGTGTGGACAGTGGGCCCAGCATGGCCGTGGCTGGCTCCAGAGGTCCTCAGCTGCTATGGCTCTGCTCGGGGCGGGGCAGGGCGGGGGGAGAGAAACTCAACCCTCCCCCCTCCAAGGGGCCCCGGTGAGGAGAGCCAGGCGCAGGGGCAGCAGACTCTGCTCAGACAAGAGCTGGATCATCAAGATCAGGCCAGGGCCACCCCTCCAGCGAGAAGCGCGCCCTCCCGTGGCCGCTTTGGAGAACTGCAGCTCAGACAAGAGCTGGATAATCAAGATCTGGCCAGATCACCCCCGCCGGCGAGAAGCGCGCCCTCCCGCGGTATCTTGGGAGAACTGCAGCTTAGTCAAACTCCGGGGAGTCAAGATCTGGCCAGCCACCCCTGCCTTTGCCCCCAGGTGACCCTGTCTGCCTTGTTTCATTCAGCCCCCCCCCCCCCCGTGATCTCTTTCTCACCCCCTCACATTTCTCTAAATTTCTTTCAATAAAAACATTTTACTGAAGAATTTTATTGAAAATATTTTTTCGATAAAAAACATCAGAATCCTTGCATTAGATTGCCGCCGTTGCCAGTATCATGGCCATGTTTACCATACGGCCACCAAATTGCACCAAATTTGCCATAATGTCGCCAAGCCCACCAATTTCGTGCCACAGCAAACCAAAACGGAAACACCCCCCCAAAATAGCAGTGGCAAACGTTACCAAATTCACCATACCAACACCAGATTCACCATGTTTGTGCCACAGTGTACCAAATTCACCAGATCTCTGTCACAGCCAACCAAAATCGGAAATATAAAACAGCAGTGCCAAACCTCACTAAATTTTACCACAGTGTGCCAAATTCACCAGATTTGTGCCACATTCAACCAAAACACAAATAGCAAAATAGCGGTGGCAAACATCACCGAATTTTCCATAACATCACCAAACTTGCCAGATTTGTGCCACAGCCAATCAAAACAGAAATAGCAAATAATAGCGATGCCAAACTTCACTGAATGTACCAGATCACCAAATTACCCAGAATTGTGCCACAGCCAACCAAAACAAATACAAAAACCAGCAGAGACAAACATCACCAAATTTGCAATAGTCACCAAAGTCACCGGATTTGTGCCACAGCCAACCAAAACCAAACTACCCCAAAAGCACTAGTGCCAAAGTCACCAAATTTGCCATAGCATTGCCAAATTCACCAAATTTGTGCCACAGTCAACCAAAACGGAAATACCCCCATAATAGCCACACCAAAAGTCACTAAACTTTCCATATCTTCGCCAAATTCACCATATCATCACCAAGAGTCATCAAACTTGTGCATGACTCCACTTCATGTCCGACATCATGATTACCACCACCACGAAAATGACCATGACCAGCCTCAGACCATGATCACCAGATCACCAGCATGATCTGATCGGCAGAGCGTCCCGCCAGCTCTGTCCGCATCACCATGTCACCATCATCACCGCAACTACATCCCCAACAATGCTGCCATTTTCACCACGAAAGCATCATCACAACAGCACCATGCGACAGCTATTCCTGCCACCATCACCACTGCCACAATCTTTGGCATTGCCATTGCTGCCTCAATAACCGTCACCATTGTCGATCCACCAGCTCAGCCTATCCCAGTGCCCCCCATGAGTGTGACTGATGTGCTGGGGGGGTGCCTCCCTCCATGACGAGTGCCACTGTGCTGAGACGGGTGCCTGTGTGTCTGGGACGTCCCTGCCCCCTGCCAGGCGTGGGCACTCTGACCTGAGGGGTGCGGGCGAAGGTCCGTTTTCTTGCTCTCGGGGGCCCCTAAATGGGGCAGCTGCAGGGAGCCAGTTTCTCTGTTGATCACTGATGACAGTCCGGTGCTTGCTGGGCTCCAGAACTCTGGGGAGAGAGAGACACACACACACAGATCACTCACAGGCGTTTTGCTGACAGCTGCATCCCCTGAGCAGAAATGATAATAATATACATATATACATATATACATATATACATATATATGAGATTGATATCCAAGGCTAAGAAAATGGGGCCAGGAGGACTGGTCAATGGTTGGAAGCTCCCACAAGCATCGGGGACAGAGGGTAGTTAGGATAGAGTAGGGACCAGTCTGGCAATAATGCTTGGAAATGGTTGGAAATCACTTTGGACGGGAACTGGGTGTTGAAAGTAGGTAAAGAGATACACATAATAACCTTTCCATATCTGTATTGTAAACCAAAAGGCGTGTGTCAGAGAGAGGGGGAGAGAGAAAAGAGGGAGAGAGGGAGTAAAGAGAGAGCACTGCAGAAAGGAGGAGGGAGAGAGAGGTGCCTTGCCTGTCTGGGGGAGTAGGGAGCTCTAGTCCAGCAGTCGTCTTTAAATCTCATTACGTGACCAGCCCATCTGATTTTTGACACCTTGGCAAATGAGACAGCGTCCCTGATTCTTGATCGTCGACGGATGTCAGAACTCCGGATTCTTTCTCTCATTTGAGTGAAACGTGATATTCCAAGCATAGCTCTTTCTATTCTTCTTTGGGAGACCTGAATAGCGTTCTCATCTTGTTTGCGTAGGGCCCAGGTCTCTGAGGCATATGTTAATGCAGGAAGAACAGTGGAATCAAAGAGATGTGCCCGGAGCCGGAGGTTCTTCGTCCTCTTACCTATTTCTTCGACGTTCTTGAAGGCGTTCCAAGCCGCTCTCTTCCTCCTGCGCAGCTCGGGTGCCAGGTCATTTGTCATGTTGACCTCTCGACCTAGGTACACATAGCTGTTGCATTCGGAGATGGTCGTTCCATTGAGAGTGAATGGGGCATCAGGAACGAGGCTGTTTCTCATCAACATTGTCTTCGTAAGATTCAGCTGTAGTCCTACCTTTCCACACTCACGGTCAAAGTCGGCCAGCATTTGTGCCGCTTGGCTGATGTTTGGTGTTATTAAAACAATGTCATCAGCAAAGCGGAGGTGGTGTAGTTGCCGACCATCTATCTTCACTCCCATTCCTTCCCATTCCAGTCGTCTCATGATGTTCTCGAGGGTGGCACTGAAGAGTTTTGGTGAAATGGTATCACCCTGCCGAACCCCTCTCTTGACATCAACGATCACTTCTTTGTAGAATGGTGAGATCCTGGTAGTGAATCTGCAATACAGCTCACGGAGGATCCTGATGTATTGGGCTTGAATGCCCTGATTGGCTAGGGCTGCAATGACCGCTTCCGTCTCAACAGAATCAAAGGCCTTCTTTAAATCAATGAACGTTAAACAGAACGGCATCTTCAACTCTCGAGAAACCTCAATGAGTTTGGTTATTGTGTGGATATGGTCGATGGTGCTGAATCCTTTGCGGAACCCTGCTTGCTCGCATGGTTGTCCTTCATCTAGTGTTCTGCCAATCCTATTTAGGATGACTCTAGTGAACAACTTGTAGATGACAGACAATAGGCAGATCTGTCGATAGTTGCCAATGTCATGATATCTCCTTTCTGATATCATACGGTCCTGCTGGTTTTCCATTGGGACGGAACCTTGCATTCAGACAGGTAGCGAGTGAAGAGCCGAGCCAGTGTATTGATGAGTACTGACGGCAGGTTCTTCAGGTGTTCAGGTCTCACCTTGTCTGGGCCGGGTGCTGTTTGTTTCTTTACCGATGAAATGGCGTGTCGGATTTCGGAAGGGAGAATGTTGGGAACGACATATCCATCCTGTGGAATTTGGTATGTCGGCAAGTGGACATGGATATCGAAGAGATTTGAGTAGAAGTCATGGATAATCTTCTCCATTGCCGTTCTGGAGGATGTGATGGATCCACCAGTAACTACAACAGGTCTCATTCACCTGACCATGAAATCTACTGTGCTTGTAATTCCCTGTGACACAGCGCACCCGCCACCCCACCCCCACCGTCAGTTCTGGTTGCGGGGAGACCCCCTCCTCTCTACTCTTGAGTGGCGATTGTCGGGGTCTGCTGCGCGTCCATGGTTGCCGCCTGTCTCAGCTCCTTCCATCCGCTCATCCTCCCAGCCCCCCAGAGCTGGTCCCAAATGGTCAGTTCATCCCTGGTGCTGTTTGCAGGAGACAGCTCCCAAGTTGGGGGCACACAGACACCAGAGTCCCATCCTCCCCTATGCTCCACACAACGCACAGCCCCCCAGAATCTAGACTGGCGCCCCTGGCTTGAGGAGGAACCATCCGTCAGAACGGGAAGCAGTTTTTTGTTTCATTTTGGTTTTGTTTTTTAAGGCACTCATCTTGGGCATGTAACTTAGTGCTGGAGCGGTAGCACAGCGGAGTAGGGCGTTTGCCTTGCACGCGACCGACCCAGGTTCAATTCCCAGCATCCCATATGGTCTCCTGAGAAACACCAGGAGTAATTCCTGAGTGCAGAGCCAGGAGTAACCCCTGTGCATCGCTGGGCGGGACCCCCGGCAAAAATAAATACATAAATAAATTTTAAAAAATAAATGACCCATTTAACCACTTGTCCATTTCCCTCTGCTGTCTCATCGCCTCTGTTCCCCGTCCCCCACCCACACCCCGATGTCCCAGGAATGTTTATGCAGTCATCCATGGAAAGTCACTCCTTCAGGGGCCAGGGAAATTCTAGAACTGGTACTATCTTGTCTTGTACACAGTTGAGCTGGGTTCAATACCTGGCACCCCATGTGGTACCATGAGCCCAGAGCCAGGGTAAACCCTGAGCATGGCCAGGTGTATACACATCCACCCTGAAGAAAAAAACGTTCAGTGAATCAAAGAAACAAATGATGACTTTATTTTTTTGTGGGAGTAAAAAATTTTAAAACTATTAAAAATTTTTAAAACAAATATTGAACTGATTTGAACCAGTGAGTATGACACGAACATCCACAGCTGTCCTGGACCCCAGACTTTAATGAGATACCCCACTTCACACGCACCTCTGTCTCCCTCCAAATATGCATCCCAGGAGCCACACTTCTGTCCCCTCTCGTGTCCTTTCCAGGCTGCGGCATTGCCCAGTCTTGACTGGCCGTCCGTCCCCGCCCTGTGCTCCCACACACACGTCCTCTTGTGGTGTAAATGCTCTCTCTCACACACACACAGCCACAGCCACACACGCACCCGTTGGGTTGTATCTGTTGTGTCTTCGCTCCTTCCCTGTCTTGCCTCCCTCTCTCCCCAGGCCAGGTCCTCCTCCTCCTGCTCTGCAAGCCAGCCCGGAGGAGAGTCTGGCAGAGGGTGTGAGGCCACAGGCTCTGTGTGCCCCGAGCTCTCATCCTCTACCAGAAGCCCATGTTCATCTTTCTGTTCTGGCCTTTCGCGAATTGCCTTTTTGTTTAAGAGCAACTCACTTTGGTCCTCTCCAGAGACTGGATGAAAATCATTCTCTGTTGGATTAGTCGGAACAATCTTTGCCCCTGTTCTGGCTCAGAAAGGTTTCAAAAACACATTCTCCAAACTTGCTGAAAGTTGCTGAAATGAGTGAGAACCAATGGATACTCCCAGCATAAAGCTGCTCTGCATGACATTCATATAATTGCTTTGCATGTGTGTGTGTTTTAATTGTTGTCATTGCTTGGTAATAATTTATTCAAAAAATAGCACTTCAACCTGGGATTAGGTGTTTAAAAGAATTCTTTTTGGGGGTTGGGGCTGCAACCAGTCCTTCTTTTCTTTTTTCTTTGTGTTCTCCATCTCCCAAAGTTATTAACTTGTTTCTTTAAATTCACATGGACACAATGATATGCAGGTTCTGGCATGTACACATAGGCAAACTTTTTCTCCCTCACAGTAAGTAAAATTTCACTAAAATTTTGCACGCGTAAAAGCCTGGGCCCCTACCCCCGCAATAGTCCTGGGAGCCGTTGAGCCTACGTTCTAGGGCAGTAGTGCACTGGCCTCTCTCTGGGTTGATTTCTGGCATTTTGAACACTTTGGTATTTTAGAGAATCCGAGTTCATAAGAGACTCCGATGAAGAGAAAGCTTCCCTGCAGAAATCCATCAGTATTACCAGTTCTTTTTCTCACGGAGAAGGACACAAAGCTGGAGAAGCTGAGAAAAGAGGTCGAGTCCCGGCCCCGCCCACGTGGACCGAGCCACGCCCATCTCAGTCCGGGCCACGCCTACATTGGCCGAGCCACGCCCATCTCCCTCTGAACCACGCCCACATTGGCCAGAACCATGCCCACTCCGGCTTGAGCCACTCCTATGTCAGCCCAGGCAACGCCCACATACGGGGTGGGGGGGTGGGGGGGTCACAGCCATGGCCAGGTAGGCCTCAGCCACACCCCTGTGTTGCAGGTCTCCTTGCTCAGGGGAGAAAATGCCTCCGCCAAGTCCTTGCATTCAGTTGTTCAGTCCCTGGAATCTGACAAGGTGAAGCTGGAGCTCAAGGTCAAAATCTTGGAGCTTCAACTCAAAGACAACAAAAGGCAGCTCCAGAGCTGGGCAGGTAAAATGCTTCCGCTGAGGGGTGCCTGCTCTCCGCCCTCCCCCACACCTCCGGGGGGCACCAGCCCCCCCTGCCCTGCCCCCCCCCCAGCTGGCTGCACGGGAGGGTGAACTGGGGCACCTGCCCGGAGCATGGGTTCTTGGTAGGGTCCCTGGGTCCGCAACACTGGCGCCAAAATAAGAGACCAAAACAAGGCGAAAAGGCACTTTGGGGATGGGGGTTAGTTTGGTTTTGGCGTCACACCTTGCGGTGCTCAGAATTTACTGCTGGCTCTGCTCAGGGATCACCCTGCTCAGGGGACATTCAGGGGACCAGAGATCTAAGCCCCTACCTGCTGAACTGTTTCTGCCCTAAAAAGGCACATTTTCAAAGACCTACACTCACTCTTTTTTTTTTTTCAACTAAAAGGTAATTCTGATTCTCAAGCAGATGAGGACGAAAGGGCCCAGGAGAATCAGGTAATATTTCTTTGCTGTGTTGCTTCCATGTTATGTTTTATTTTGGTTGTTAGTTTGGGGACCACACCCCGTGGTGCTCAGGACTTACCCCAGGCTCTACACTCAGGAATCACTCCTGGTAAGGCTTGGGGAACCATGTGGGGTGCCGGGGATCCAACCCAGGTCAGTGGGGTACAAAGCAAATACCTATACTATTTTTCTGGCCCTTGTTGGGTTTTGTTGTTTCATAAGGTTGTTCACATTATTTTGATTACATTCAATATTTCAACACCAATCCCACCACTATTACACCTTCTCACCACGCTTATTTCAAATTTCCCCACCACCATTCAAGCCTGCCTGCCAGAGGCAGATGCTAGATCATTTATTTTCTATTGCCTATTATGAATATCATGAGAGGTCTTCTGGAATTCTAAAATTGTAAATGGTTAGGGTCCAGAGACATCTCTGTAGGGAGCTAATGTATTTTGAGATTCCTTTGGGCAGCTCAGGATCAAGGCTGTTGATGGCCAGAGATGGTGCCTGGAGGCAGATCAGGGGCGTGACAGCCAGGACCCCAAGTGGGCTGGGAGAGGGTGGCCCTTGTTTTTTCGTGACGCTTCACTTTTTTTTTTTCAGTCTTCCTAAAGGTTGTTTTATTGTAAAACCATAAATACAACACTGACAGGAAATCATCTCAGTAACCGATCCTCGAACCGTTCAAAGGATGTCTTGTTGCCTTGGCATCCATCAACTGGGAACGCAGGTTGTGAGAATTCACGCTGGGGAGGGGCTGGGGGTGCTGAATTCAGGGCCGGGGCTTTTGGCAACCGAAGGAACCAGGTGGGACATTTCCTCTTTTCTCCCTTGGGAAATGTCCCACTTTTTTTTAATTAAAAACAAATTTTTGGGGGGGGGGGGGACAATAACAGACAGGTAAAAACAGCAACATGGAAACAGCTCCGTTTTTAAATTTTATTTCTTTGTAAAAATCTTTTTTTTTCCCTCTCCTATTCCTTTCCTCCATTGGACATCAGTAAAAAAGGTTTTTTAATGTCACAAAAAGAGATTTGGCTCTAAATGGAGAAACGGTACCCAAATAAAGTGAATCAGGAAAAAAAAAAACAAATCAAACCAAAAACCAAAACCAAAAAACCAGAAACAAAACCCAAAGGACAAACAGAAAAACCCTAAAAGAGAAACCCTCAAGTTGGGTCTTGGGGGCTCACAGATCACAACAAGAAGTGACAACTGAAGCCCCATGCACGTGGCTCCACAGAGACCTGCTGGGTCCACACGACGACACAGGAGACCGCAAGGGACATCTTGTTCATTAACACAGCAAGGGTGACACTGGGTAACTTTAAATACAGTACCTGGCGCGTGGGGCCCTAAGTAGCCCGACGCAAACCTCTCGTGGGGAACTTGAGCCAAGCGCTGGCTGTTTATAAAAATATTGTGTTGCTACAAAAGTATAAATTAATGCTACCGGTATTAAGAAATATTAAACACATAAAACTTATAAGGATTAAGAAAAATATTCATTAATACCTGTAGAAAAACTCTGGCCTAAAAAAGATATTTGAGTGTGTTTGTTTTTTTTTTGTAAATTTTTTTTTTTACAGGGCCTGGCCAGCCAGGAGAGAGCGGGGCCTGGAGGTCAGGGGAGAAACCGAGGCTCACAGACACCCCCGCCCCACCCAAGAGTGGGCAGCGTCTCCTGGACCGTGCAGCTCCCAAGCATCAGGAAATTCCTTTTGTACAACCGCCCTGAAGCAGAGATATTTTTAAAAGCATCAGTTAATTTTCGTCGTCATCGTCCTCTTCTGTTCCCACCCCCCACCCCCACCCCGCCCTGCCCCTGACACCTCACACCTCACATCGGTGATTCTTCCACATCAGGTAAAAAAAAAAAAACTCTTGAGAAGGCCTTGGTGCCCCCCCCCCCCCCCCGCCCCACGCCCACCCCACCACTCCCTCAGTGACTGCGTGTGCACTCCCTGCCCGCCCTTTCTCAGTAGTACAACGTTCTAGGCAATACCACGGGCACAGCTGACTGTGTCGCTCTCCTGAGTGCAAGAAAACTCAAGTCATCTTTAAAAAAAAAAAAGTCAAAAAAAAAATAAAAACAAAAAAAAATTTACAAAAAAAGACGCTTCAATTTTGACTAAGACATTCAGCATTTAAAACATTAGCCAGTTCGGGCCTCCTCGGGACCCAGCGCCCCGGGATGGGCCTGAAGAATAGCCCAACGGGGCCGACGCGTCCTCTGCAGCGGAGGGCTGGTAAGGGCCGGGGCAAAGCCCCCCTCCCCGGGCCTCCGGCTGGGGGGTGGGGGGGAGAGGGGGGCGGGCGCTCCCGCTCCATCTGCTCGTTCCCACACGCCGTCCCGTGCCTGGGGCGAGCGGGCGCGGGCGAGCCCCCCAGCTTCGCCCCGGGGAGGGTTGGGGGGTGGCGGGCGGCACCCCTGGGTCACGCCTCGTGCGGAGTCGGAGGGTGTCCGGGGACTTCCCCGGCCGGCAGGGGCGCAGGAGGGCCCGGGAGGCTGCTTGCCCCCGTCCCCCTTCCCCCGCCCCGACTTTTCCTGATTTCAGGGCCAACACTCAGCCCTCGCCCTCCAGCTCCCAGGTGGAGCTCCGAGTTCCAAAACTTTGTGCCCCGGGAGGGAGCCACCCCCCACTGCTCTGCGAGAGGGAACTTTGACCCAGTGGCTGCCGGGGGTGGGGAGTGGGGGCTTTGGACCCTCCTGGAGAAATTGCAGAAAGCCCAGATCCCCCCAACACCGCCCTCCCCACCCTTGCCACCCCCTTCGCTCCCCACCCGCAGTCCCTGCTCCGGGAAGACCAGAAAGGATTTTTCTGGGTTCTTGTCGGGAAACCAACGGTCCCTCTTGGTGCCCGCTCGCGGGGCCTCGCGGGGGCTCAGCGTGGCCCTTTGTGCAAGTGGAGGCGGGGCAGCGCGAGGACGCGCAGGGCTGACCTGTGCCGCGCGCGGGGACAGAGCTCAGCCCGGAGGGAGCCGCGAGCTCGTTGGGCCGCTGCTGAGTGTAGCGACCACCGCCTGGTGCCCCGCCCGCTGCAACATTGTTTCCCTTTGGCCGGCTCGCTCCCCGCCCAGTGCCTGCAGGCGCGCCTCCGTGCAGAGCCCTGCCCGGGTCTCCGAGGGCGCAGAGGGTGCGCCCCCCTCTCTCGGGCTCTTTCAGACTGTTTTCCTTTCTTCCGCAGCTTGGTGTTTTTTGTTGTTTTGTTCTGTTGTTTTGCTTTTCTTTGGCCTTTGTCGCCTCTCCCCCTGCCCACCCCACTCTTCTCATCTCTCTCTCTTTGTATTGCGGACGGGGCACACCTGGAGCGCAGGTACTGCTCCTGGCTCTGCTCACTACGGACCCCTGGCGGTGATGGGGGGAACTACTGCGGTGCCGGCCCCATGCAAACCCCAGGGGGCCGACCCTCCCAGCCCTCACTTATTTTCTTGACGTTCCTTTCATAGGATCACCATGAGATGCACCATTGCAAGGCTGTTCAAGATCGGGTTTCAGTCGCGCCATGTTCCCGCCACCTATCCCTCCACCAGCGGACGTTTCCCACCCAGTTCCCTCCCGCCACCCCTCCACCCTGCCTTAGAGGCAGGCACCTTTCTTCTTTCTCTCTCCTTTGGGGCGTGATGGTTTGCAATTCAGGCACAGAGAGGTCATCCTGTTCTGTTCCTTTCGGGACTTTCAGCACTCAGATCTTGCCCAGTGATCGTTTCTTACTGTCACTGTCCTTATGATCCCTTCTCTCTCCCAACTGCCTTCTCCCCAGCGCTTGGGGCAGGCCTCCAACCACGGACCAATCAATCAATTATTGTATCTTATGGAGACATTGAGTCCTTGTAAGATGTTGTGATAGGTTCAGCCTCCTGTGTTTGTTTTGTTAACCGAGATGGGTCCCTTCTCCACTCTGGTGTGCTACTACTGGTTTATCAGTGTTTTAGAGTTTGAGATGTCAGAAAGTTAAGTCTTTTTATTGGGAAGTTCAGTATTTTATCGGGAAGGTACTACTTACTGGAGTTGATGTTTTGTCTGGGTGGCAGCTTTGGAGTGTGGATGTCCAAAAGCTGCTGGGGCTTCTGGAAGTACAAGGACATGGGGGAGGGGGGAGGTAGCCCATCCCAACTCTGAAAAAGCCTGGAGATTTCAGTCACGAATCCTGTATACCTGAATTTGCATCCATTTAATTTCTCCACGGGGTCCATCCCGAGAAGATGGAGTCTTCCCCATGGGGGCCGTGGCAGAAATTTCGGACCGTGGGAGTGCGTGGCAGTGGGGGGGCTGTTTGGGCAGGCACTGCTCAGCCCTCATTTCTTTTCTTTTAATGACCTACACGAGTACTTCTGAAGTTGTGGCTTTTATAGCGAACAAGCTTTGTCTCTGTTCAGGGTGAAGTATGAACTAATGCAGTCCCTCTGATATTTTATCCTGTTTTTCCATGTCCTCGGTTTAGGCTCTGATTTGGCAAAAATGTCATCACTCTTGGTAATAAGTCTCTCCTGTGTGAAACTTCTGGGTGTGAGCGAAGGCCCATGCCGGAGTCAGCATGTGCTTTGTGGTTCTCTGTCTCCTGAGTGGTTTCGGAGGGAAAAGGGACCTTTTCCAGTGTGTCCTATTACTGCTTTGTGATGGTGTAACTCCTCCCCTCCCTGTCGCCTCCCACCATGTCTCCGTGTGAGTCCAGCTGGCACCATCAGCGTCGGCCTCGCAGCCAGAACACGTAACTGCCTGATTGTGTGCTCCCAGGCGCAGCTTGGACTGGGAGGTCCAGAGGTTCATCCTGCCCGCGCGAAGCGTTTGTCTGTGGATGACAATGCAAACATGGGGGCCCGAGAGCTAGGAGAGCAGCTGGTAGGGCACTCGCCTTGCCTGAGGCTGATGGGGCTTTGATCCCTGGCCTGGCATAGGGTCCTGAGGGCCTCCAGGAGTGACCCCTGAGTGCAGTCAGGAACAAGTTCTGAGCACCGCCTGGTGAGGCCCAGAAAAAAAAAGAGGAAAGAAGGAAACTGTTCCACCGACATGGGGTTCAAGTTTAGTCTTTGGGGTTCTGGGGCCACTGGAGCCGTTCCCCACATGAGTCTACCACTTGAGCCCATCTCTCGACTGCAACTTTTGCTTTTCATAGTTAAAAGAGTTGAATTGTGAATCTACTTTGCCCTCACCACCCAAAGGGCTGGAGCGATAGCACAGCGGTAGGGCGTTTGCCTTGCACACAGCCAACATGGCCGACCCGAGTTCGATTCCTCCGCCCCACTCGGAGAGCCCGGCAAGCTACCGAGAGTATTCGATATGCCAGACACAGTAACAACAAAGTCTCCAATGGAGACGTTACTGGGCCCGCTCGAGCAAATCGATGAACAACGGGAGGGCCTTTACCTTTACCTTTTACCCAAAGTAAGAATTTTGACCGGAAGAATGACTTTGTGTTCCTGCGTCTGTTTTATACTAAAGGGCTTGAGTTCTGTTTCTCGGCACGGTTATTTGTACGAACTTCACCATCTTTTGATGTCTCTGGGGTGTAGGGCCGGGATGGAACCCAGCGCCCCCCCCCCAACACACATACACACGGAGGCACCTGATATGTTGGGCCCCATCGCCAACCCACACTTTGCCACTTCTGAACCCTCCTGAGGTGTGTGAAAGCCTCAGAACAGAGTGAAGACGAGGGTCAGAGCCAGTCAACGTCAGCATGAAGGCAAAGGCAGTGTGTCCGAGTGTCTGAGGATCCAGTTTCGGGTCAGAGGTTGCTGATCTCAGGCCTGTCCTTTCTCACCGTTAGAGCGGGTGTAAAGGGGTGATGGAAGAGCCCGTTTGGCAGGTCGGCTGGGTGGCATTGAGACATCGGGCCTGGTCTTGGCAGAGACTCTCCAGACTTGGTCCCCGGGCCTCTAAGCACGGCCACCCCCCAATCCCTCGCAAACTCAAACGCAAATCAGACAGATTGTTTTTTTATTTGAACATTAAATATTGACCAGTATCTCAGCATCTTCTTTTCCTCTTTAAAATGCATTTATGGGGGCTGGAGTGATAGTACAGCGGGTAGGGCTTTTGCCTTGCACATAGCCGACCCGGGTTCGATTCCCAGCATCCCATATGGTTCCCTGAGCACCACCAGGAGTAATTCCTGAGTGCAGATCCAGGAGTAATCCCTGTGCATCGCCGGGTCTGACCCAAAAAGCAATAAATAAATAAATTAAAAAAATGCATTTATGTTTACATTTATGCATTTAGGAATAAAAAGGGCTTTTTTTTTTGTTTGTTTGCTCATAGGACTTTTCATTGCAATGAATATTAAATAGATTCACCTCATTCTTTTTCTTTTTAAAGTTTTATTAGTGAAACACCATGAGGTATGATTGTGGACTTACAAGTTTTTGTGCTTGGATTTCAGTTATACAATGATCAAGTACCCATCCCTCCACCAGTGCCCATTCTCCGTCACTAATGATCCCAGTAACCCTCCCACCTCCCCAACCCCCCCACCTCATCCCCCCCATCCCATCTCTGTGGTAGGACATTCCCTTTTGTTCTCTCCCTCCTTTTGGATGTTGTGGTTTGCGAAAGAGGAATTGAGTTCACCACCGTGTTCGGTCTATAGTCTACTTTCAGCATGCATCTCACAACCCAAGTGGATCCTCCAAACACTCGATTCACTTCATTCTTGAATCCTCGCCCTTTTGGTCTGGGATACTGGACTTAAGGATGAGGTGTGTCCTTCCAGCGTCTGATTCTGAAACCTTGGGCATTTCGTGCACAATTCATGCATCTGTGTATTTCTGGAGGGAAGATTCTTGGTTTCACAGTTTCAGAAGAAAAGCTATTTGGACATTCCCAATAAAATTATTTCTGCTCAAAAAAAAAATAAACCATTAGCCAGTGTGTTAAGTCTATGTATATTATCTAATCTCACTCTGAACTGTCCTTCTCCAGTACCCCCCAGACAAGTAAACAGTTATTTCATCATTTTTTTATTTTTCCATATAAGCATATGCATATGTTTATAAGTATATGTAAGCCAAGCCTAAATGTTTTCTTTTTGACTTAAATATTTTCATTTTACACGAAATGGCCTGAGCTTAGCTCTCTTAATAGCTGCTTACTATTCTATTCTATGGATTGCTCTAATTTCACCAAATTTGAAATTAATCTAGGATAAACCCCTAGAAACAGAATTGCTTCACCTAAAACTTCCATTATATTTGGCTACTTGACTTCATTTCTCCTGTGCTGAATGGAGGGGCCATCTCAGCTTCTGTCCCAGACACCCAGCGGCTCCTGGGACTTAGCTCTGCCCAGTGGGGGCGGCGAGCCCGGAGCTGCCCGGGGTGTCTCACTGTCCTGGGCACGAGGAGCCCAGCGAGTCTTGTTTTCTCTCTCCTTTAAGCTCCCGCTGGCCTTGTTTTCTCTCTCCTTTGCCTCCGCTTCCGCTTGTGCCTCCTGCTGCCGCCAACACTTTCCTCCTAAGCAGCAAATGCTTTGTTGTCTTCCTCACTTGTGAGTGTGTGTGCATGTGTGAACATGTGTGTGTGCTCACGCGAGCACTGGGGAGCGTGTCTGCGTGTGTGTCCGGGTGTGTCCACGTGTAAGCGTGTCTGGCTTTCCCCTCTAGATTTGAATCCCTGCTCTGGCCTTTTCCTCTTCCTGAACGGTAGCTCCCAACAGGACCCTGTCTCGCAGGGAAGTGGGAATCGTTTCTTGGCTCCAGTGTGGGAGGGCCTGGGCCCTCTCAGAGACTCCGCATCAGAACTTGCCCCGAGGGAGAAAAAGAATCAGTCTGTTTTTCTGGTTTTCTTTACACTTCCTTTGGGGGCCACAGCTGGCGATACTCCGGGCTTCCTCCTGGCTCTGCACTCAGGAATCACTCCTGGCTGCTCTCCGGTGTCCCCTATGGGATGCCAGGGATCGAACCCGGTTCGGCTGTGTGCAAGGCAACGCCGTCGCTCCGGTCCCTTCTCTTTATTTTATTTCAACCACCCAAACAAAACCAATGTTCTGCGCCCCACCCCGCGGTGTCCAGGGGCTGCACGGGCAGGGGTCGCCCCGACGTCTTAGCACCACCAGTTCCATCTCTGACGCACGTTCTCGGCTTCCGGGGGCTCGTGGGCCAAGGCGGGGGCTGAGCGGGACCCTCGGCCCAGGGTGAAATGGTCCCGGGCTGGGCGGAACCAAGAGGTGGAAGCCAAGACCAGAAAGAGGCGCAGGGACGCCGATCGCTTCCGGCTTCCGGCGGGGTGTGACGTCACGCCGTTCACGTGACCGCGGCGTCACGGGCGGCGTGGCCAGGAGGCACCAAGGCCGCGCACCTGTCCTCAGGACGGTTAACCTGTACGTGCTGCGCAAGTTCCTGCATAAGTGCGCGGGCAGCAAGCTGAGTGCCGGGGCGGCAGCAGCCTCTGGGGCCGGGGGTGCCCCCCAGTACCGGCAGCCCCGAGAGAGGGGGCGTTGCGCTCCCCGCCCCTGCGGCTCGGCTCTGGGAAGGAAAACGGGGGCGACTCGGTCCGTCTTGGCAGGACAAGCACAGCCCCGCGCCCAGGCACTCCCCACTGTCCCCGTGTGCGGGGTGTCGCCGCAGGCTACCCTGGGTACCACTTCTCCCAGCTGCCTGTTCCTCCACGGTTAGCGCAATCAGTTACGCCAGATAAGGAAAAAGACCCCGGTGTCGCACAGGCGAAATGCTCACAGGCCGCATGGCATTTGTCCTGGCCCCCAGTGACACCATCCTTGCCTAGGTAGAGGCGAAGGTCTGCTGGAGGCCTGACTCTCTCAGGGGCACAGGACACTGTCCCAGCTTTCCAAACACTCTCAGAACTAAGATACCTATGGTGTTGGGGTTGGGAGTTCCCTAGAGCTGGGAGGCACGGAGAGACCAGACAGACATCGTTCCTGCAGGAATTCAAGCGGGGTTTTATTCAGACCAGCATGCTGGGGCTCCACACCGTACCCAAGAACGGGCAGAGGCTGGGAGCCTCGAACTCAGAAACAGGTCATCTTTTATACAGTTTGAGAACAAAGACCACATATTTTGCACATATGTTGCCAATACGTGTTTTGCTGGGTTCCTTTCAGTTTTCCTTGGAACATCTTGACACGGTCACATAGTTTCAGTTTCGGGAATGGTCAAAACACTCTATCTTTAAATAGTTATGTCTAGCCCATACCTTACACATCTACTGGGTTCAATCCAATTTTGTAACCGCAAGGCTGCTGAACTGTTTACAGAAAGCAATTTTGCAAGTTACTCCCTCCTTGCCTTCCTAGCTCCTTTCAATGGGATACCTACGCGAGTGGTTTTTATTTTATAGACGCTGGATTATATGATGCCTGTTACATACTGGTTGAACGGTTTCCTTGACAGTTCGCCCACGGTTCATAACCTCAGTCTGACCCCAGGACACTGCATACACACTCTTTGTGGATGACAGTGATTGTGCTTCCATGGTCAGTAGCACCCCTTGGCCTGATGCTGTTTTTCTTCAGGCCATGAAATGTGAGTGTGGTCAGCTATTGTTAACTGCAAGTTTTGTTTGTCCAGAGTTTGCAGATGACTGTTGTTTTCTGTTGGCCGTTATTGAAATTCATTTTACTCAAATAACGGGATGCTTCTCCCTCCCGCAGGCAATAGTTTGGGATGAGTATCTCACATAGGACTACAGCTGAATCTTCCGAAGACAATGTTTATGAGAAACAGCCTCGTTCCTGATGCCCCATTCGCTCTCAATGGAACGACCATCTCCGAATGCAACAGCTATGTGTACCTAGGTCGAGAGGTCAACATGACAAATGACCTGGCACCCGAGCTGCGCAGGAGGAAGAGAGCGGCTTGGAACGCCTTCAAGAACGTCAAAGAAATAGCTAAGAGGACGAAGAACCTCCGGCTCCAGGCACATCTCTTTGATTCCACTGTTCTTCCTGCATTAACATATGCCTCAGAGACCTGGGCCCTACGCAAACAGGATGAGAACGCTATTCAGGTCTCCCAAATAAGAATAGAAAGAGCTATGCTTGGAATATCACGTTTCTCTCAAATGAGAGAGAGAATCCGGAGTTCTGACATCCGTCGATGATCAAGAATCAGGGACGCTGTCTCATTTGCCAAGGTGTCAAAAATCAGATGGGCTGGTAACGTAATGAGATTCAAAGACGACCGCTGGACTAGAGCTATTACCAACTGGATTCCACGGGATGTCGAAAGACCGCGTGGCCGCCCACCTTCCAGATGGTCAGACTTCTTCATCAGGATCATGAACGATCAGTTTGAGGCCCTTCATGTTCCTGGAGCGAACAGATGCCATTGGGCTACACTAGCATGCGACAGGTACAAATGGAGACGTTACTGGCGCCCGCTCGAGCAAATCGACGACTAACGCGAAGTTAAGTGATTAAGTGATTAAGTGAGTATCTCACAGGACCGTTTGGCTTGATTGCACAGTACTCACTTCTAAAGGTAAAAGGGTTTTGGTTATTATTATTATTTTTGAAACTGTCATTCTGGACTCTAGCAAGAGTAATATGATGTTCTACTTCTGGAGTAACTGGTGTGCAGAGCTGTCTGGTTTTAGAATCACTGACGCTGTTATGAGTGATGTTTTATCTTCTGTGGACCTTTGTTTATTTATTTGAAGTAAAAAAAACATTTTATTTGGTGACTTTTAGGAAAGGGACGAAGGGAGAGAAAGTAACATGTTCAAGAGAGACTGTGGACTTCTCCAGAGGCAGAGAGAGCCCCTACACACATCCCAACATTAGATAGGAAGGCACAAAATTCCCCATCTCAAGGAGAGCTGCGGGCACCGCATTTGCTTGGCTACATGGGCACAAGCAGCTCAGGGGCTCGGGCAGCATCGGAGCCTTCAGTGGACCTTTAAAGGGTGGGTGTGCACCCCCCTCTTCTCCGCGACGGAGCGGCATGTCTTCTGATTGTTACGTAATGTGGCTCAAAGTTTTTCAGACACAGGATTGGTTACTTCAGCCTGAATTTATACACCTGGCTTTGGGGAATCTAAATTTTTATACTAAAGTGGTTTTTTATTTTATTTGGGGGCTCGTGCCAGGCAGTGCTCAGGCTTCGCACTCAGGATCACTCCTGGCAGTGCTCGGTGGACAGTATGGGGTGCTGGGGATAGAACCCCGGGTCAGCTGAATGCAAAGCCAGCACCTTCCCCACTCTACTTTCTCCCTGGCCCTGGGTCTCCTGAGCACTGCCCCAGGGCACCTCCTGGTGGTGATTCTTAGCAGTTCAATGATGCTTGGCGCTGTGGTGGCAGGGTTTGCCCAGGCCACTCCAGTGGCCTCTCCAGTGATGCGCATGGCAATGCTCGAGATCCTTGTGGTGCCAGGGAGCGAAGTTGGCAGTCATGTGTCAGGCATGTACCTTAACCCCTGCACTCTCCGACTCAACACTTAAGTATACTGTGCTTTGGAGTGGGAGTGCTGCAACACCTGAGTTTTTGTTGTTGGTCTATTTTGTTTGGGCCACCCCTGGCAGTGCTCAGGCTTACCCCTGGCTCTGCACTCAGGAATGACTCTCGGTGGTGTTTGGGGACCGTGTGGGAGGCCGGCAATGCAACCCGGCTTGGCTGACTGCAGTGATGTCCGAGTTTGGGTCGGCTGCTAAGCTTTAGGGGTTCTGTTCACCATTTGTATGTGTGCTTTCCTAGGAACATGAGGTGGAGAAAATGTTCACACTCAAAGGAAGCCGCTTGCCAGCAGGTGATGTCAAGAATATCATTTTTTTCGTCAGACCCCGGCTAGAACTGATGGATATAATTGCTGAAAATGTGCTTAGGTATCTCAGAGCTGATGCTTGGTCCATACAGAATCATTCCTCTAGTGGTTTTAGTGCTCATCAGGACACCTCTGCTTGCCAGTGCTTTAGGAAGTAGATCTTTGGACAGTTGTGAGAGTGTGTCGGAGGAGAATGGGGGGCAGGAGCAGGAAACTCTGCAGTCAGCCAAGGATAGATCCTCAGAACCCAGTGTGGTCCCCAAGTCTGCTGGGAGTGACTTCTGAGCCTATAGCCAGGAGTTAGCCCTGAGCACCTGCAAGTGTGGCCCAAAAACTGTAAATAGAGAATGGGAAATTTTGTGTATTGGGGTTTGGGGAGGCAGGGCTAACCACATAAACCCCCTCTCTCAGGACAGTAGAAAGCTGCGTCCTGTCTCAGTAGAAGGACCCAAATTTCTTTATAAAAAGAAAAGCAGCTGAGGCTGGAGCAATAGCACAGCGGATAGGTGTTTGCCTTGCATGCGGCCAATCCAGGTTCGATTCCCAGCATCCCGTATGGTGCCCTGAGCACCGCCAGGGGTAATTCCTGAGCACAGAGCCAGGAGTAACCCCTGTGCATTACTGGGTGTGACCCAAAAGGAAAAAAAAAGAAAAGAAAAACAGCTTTTCAAGTACTGAATACCATTGTTGGGGTCGGGAGTTCCCTAGCCCTGGGAGGCACGGAGAGACCAGACAGACAATGTTCCTGCAGGAATTCAAGCGGGGTTTTATTCAGACCAACATGCTGGGGCTCCACAGTGTACCCAAGAACGGGCAGAGGCTGGGAGCCTCGAACTCAGAAACAGGTCACCTTTTATACAGTTTGAGAACAAGACCACATATTGCCCATACGTGTTGTTTTGCACATATTTTGCCAATACGTGGTTTGCTGGGTTCCTTGCGGTTTTTCTTGGAGTATCTCGACCCAAACTTCTTGACCTGGTCACATAGTTTCAGTTTCCAGGATGGTCAAAACACTCTACCTATCTTTAAATAGTTATGTCTTATTCTAGCCCATACCTTACACATCTACTGGGTTCAATCCAATTTTGTAACCTCAAGGCTGCTGAACTGTTTACAGAAAGCAATTTTGCAAGTTAATTAACTCCTTCCTAGCCTTCCTCGCTCCTTTCAGCATATGCTCAAATTTTATAAGCAAAGTCAGGAGAAACTGATTAAAATTTAATGCTGCAGCATCTATGGAGGAAGTGCACCAGCCCAGTCTGCATTGCGTTTGATCGATGTGGCCCCTAAGGACTTAAAAGCATGCGGGCTATTTGCGCGAGATCGGGCACGGTGTGGAGCAACCTTTTATTTTCCTAGAGACAAGCCAACACATTGCTTGATTAAATAAAAACATGTTTTTTCTGCAAGAAACAGATGTCCGTTGCAATAACCCTGAGTGGTTTTTTTTTTTCTTTTCTTTTTGTGTGATACCCGGCAATGCACAGGGGTTACTCCTGGCTCTGTACTCAGGAATTACCCCCGGTGGTGCTCAAGGGGCCATATTGGATGTTGGGAACTGGGAATCAAGCCCGGGTCGGCCGTGTACAAGGCAAACGCCCTACCTGCTGTGCTGTTGCTCCAGCCCAAACCCTGAGAGTTTTCGTGTCCCATCAATGACCCGAGAGAAAGCAACACTGCCCCTTGGCAGAGCACAGGTCGGCGGTTTCCAGAAAAAGCATCAAAATCAAGAGAGCAAGAAAACTAGAAACTTGGGCCAATTCAGTGGTGGGGGGTTGGCTCATAAGCGTCTCTTTAGAGCCCACTGTGTGTCAGGCACAGGTGGGGCCCTGGGCAGCAGTCCTCGCCTCGGGGCCTCGGCCAAAGCACGGTCCTTCTCTTGCAGTGAAGACA